GAACTTGCAAGCTGCTGTTTGTGCATATTTTGACCTGCAGTCGTTCAACAAGCTTCCACAGATGACTTTTGTTAAAGATATTACTATTGGGGAAGGAGAGAGTGTTCCACCTAGTACAAGGTAAATATCATATGTTTTTCTCCATGATGGATGTTTAGCATTTAAGTACTGTATTCTGTTGTTTATTTGTTGAGTGTATAGGTACTCAAGGATGCTGTATAAAGTTCTGATCCTGTCAGAAATGTTTTGGTAAGAACAGAGAAACTTGACAGGGTTTAGACAGTATGGTCCTGAGACTGTTTATAAAATCAGACATGTTTGTCATAATCCTGTGAGCATTAGCTTTTAAACTGTTGAAATGTTTTCTAAGAGATGAGACGCTTTCCTTCTGCCTGACCTACCTACTTGTCTATTGACAGTCCTGATTCACATATACAGTGGCACCTCGATGAACGAGTGGCTCTATTTACGAGCATTTCCAGTAACGAGCAAGCTACTCGCAGCAAATTTGTCTCTATTGATGAGCTTCACCTCTATTACCGAGCAAAACCACATGGTGCTTCTTAGCGTCTCGTGGGTTCTCGCAAATTCTCGGACGCCTCCGACGCCAGTGTTATTGTATCGTGCACGACAAGCATCCCTCTGCATTTATTTGTGCTTTTCTTTGTTTTTTTGTGGTTTTGTGACTACAATTTGTAACGCACGATGTCGCCAAAGAAGCTGCTTGCTAAAGATAGTGTTGTCAAGATGAAGAAAGACACAATTACTGTGGATTTGAAGAAGGAAATTATAGCAAAGCATGAGCGTGGTGTCTGTGTGACTGATCTCACAAGGGAGTATGGCAGGGCCTCATCAACAATTTGCACCATTAGTAAGGGGATGAGGAGGTAAGGGAGGATGCTGCCTCTTCCAGTGAGATCAGGGAAGTGTTGGGAATGTTTGAAAAGGTGACCGCATTCTTGGAAAAGCTGCCCTGATAAAGCAGTAACAACCCGGTGTGTGAACATGTTTAATGACAATTTGCTGTCTTGTTTTAGGAACATCCTAAAACAAAGACAAAAGCAATTGTCAATAGATACGTTCTTTGCAAAAGTAGAGAAAAGAAGAGCCAGTGATAGTGAACCACAACCCGGTCCCAGTGGGGTGAAATTCCCAAGAAGAGAGAGCCCGCCTGACTCAGAGGTGGATTCTCCTTCCACACCATAACCCCTCTCCTCTTTCCCACCTCCACATCGTCTCCCTCAAGCCAGCAACGACTCTTCATAAGGTAAAGTAAACATGAAAACAGTACAACAAAACATTTATAATTACATGTGCAGTATTATATATACATAAAAAAATGTCATACAAGTATGGATGTTTTTGGGAGTGGAACGGATTAAATTTGTTTCCTTTATTTTAAATGGGGAAATTTGTTTCTTAAGACGAGTTTTCCACATAACGAGCTCGGTGCCAGAACAGATTAAACTCGTTAATAGAGGTGCCACTGTTCTTCCAACTTTCTACCATTCTCTCTGCAAAAGTGAACTTTTTAATGTCTTTACTGCAACTTTGTTTCCTTAGCTTAAAACTATGACCTCTTGTTCTTGAAATTACAGATTTCAAGAATTCTTCTTTATAAATGTTGTCAATTCCAGTTACTGTTTTGTATGTAGTGATCATATTGCCTCCTTTTCTTCTATCTTTTAGCTTTGTCATATTTAACACCTCTAACCTTCCCTCATAGCTTTTGTCTTATAGTTCTGGAAGCTATTTTGTTGCATGGCTTTGCACCTTTTCAAGTTTGTTGATGGGTTTTTTGAGATATGAGCACCATGCAACTGCTGTATATTCCAAGTTTGGTCTCATGAAGGTAGTAAACAATTTCTTTAATATAGTATTTCACCATCCATGTATTAAAAGCATTTCTGAAACTGGAAAGTGTGGCATAGACTCCTTACATAATGTTCTTTATGTGGTCTTCGATTGACAGTTTTCTATCCAGATACACCGCTTGAGCTTTTTCTTTATCAGAGTTCTTTAAAGCCTTTTCTTTAAAGATAAATTTTCACACAATTTGTAAGTTGTGTGTGGCCTATTTTCTCCTATTCCACATTCCATAATGTGGCAAATATTCACTTTAAACTCTATCTGCCAAGTGTTACTCCATATACTTATTTTGTCCAAGTCATCTTGAAGGTCATGACAATCACCAAAGTTTCTTATCTTCCCTTGTAGCTTAGCATCATCAGCAAATTTACATATATTTCTGTATTCCTTCTGGTATATCCTTTATATAGACGATGAACGTCACTGGTGCAAGAGCTGTACCCTGTGGTACTATACTCCACTAGTAACATTTTTCGAATCTGATACAATGCCTCTGATTACCACCCCTCGTTGTTTTATCCGTTAGAAATTTTTTAATTCAGGTGAGAAGTCTTCCTGTCACTCCCTCCAGTGTGTTCCAGTTTCCATAACAACCTCTTATGAGGGGACTCTGTATAAAGGCTTGTGTAGGTCCAGATAAATGCAGTCAACCCAACCATCTCTTTCCTGTAAAATCTTTCCGGCTTACATAGAAACTATGTAGATTTGTTACACCTAGTCTTCCTGTTTGAAAATCATACTATCTGTTATTATATCATTTCTCTCTAGGTGTTCTACTCATTTCATTTTAATTATTTTTTATAGTGTTTTGACTATGCTAATCGGTGATTCAAGTCTATAATTTTGAGGGTTGCTCTGTTACCATTTTTGTAGATTGGAAATATGTTTGCCTTTTTCATATATCTGCTAAGATTCCTGTTCATAAAAGTGCTATTCATAATGTCATCAGTTCAGCTGTTCCGGCTTGTGGCACCTGGTAGGCCTAGAACTCCATTAACACTGACTGATGCCAAAGTCTAATGATATACATATCAGCCTGGATAGCTCCGGGGGAGCCTCCGGGTCTCACCCAGAAAATGCCGTTTCATTACATTCATCGCTGGTTTTTTTTTTGCAGATTCATAAAAACGTGGCGTATCCAGAATCCTGGGGAAGATGGTTGGCCTGGTGGGTGTAGCTTAATATTTACTGGTGGAGAACAGCTAGGCGCTCCATCACACGTTAATGTATCGTCTCTTGGAGCTGGAGAAGTTGCTGATATATCAGTAGAGATGACGTCACCTTCACAAACGGGCTTATATTCTTCTAAATGGCGGATGACTACTGCTCAAGGAAATTTTTTTGGAGGTAAATATAAAACTCTTTAGTTTTCTTAATAAAAATATTGTTATTTTTGGTAATTCCAGTAGGAGGGAAATACCTTGTTAGTTTAATCAAGTTATTTTATTTTATTTATTTACAGCATGAATTTCCAACTTTGTTAGGCCTAGTTTTACCTAAATTAAGCAGAATTGAGAAATAATCAGCATATTAAGGTTTTTATACAAAATCTCTTATCATTTACATTATACGGTATTAACAAGAATCTATCAATCCATTAGACAACATTTCTGGATGAGCCTCATGATGGTGCCCTGAGGCTATCTTAGTGAGATGACTTTGCCCTTCTGAGTCACATCATCCATAGGAATCCTGTATGGCCTTCCAAGGACCAAAGCCAAAACCTGGGCTCTTCACAGAGACACAGGGAGCAAGGGTTTGTTATGATCATCCTCACTGACAAAATGTTCAGAAAGCAATAGAAGTAATACAGAAACTGCAAGGTTAAAAAACAAAACAAAGTACTGAAACAGCCTAAACGACTCCACAAACTATTCACTCAAACCCAATTGATTCACTTGAAACTAGCTTGAAGCATCCCCTGCCCAGTTGTGACAGTTGACAGACATGATGGCTGCCAACAGCCACTATGCCTCCAGGCCTCTGCACCATCTATAGCTCAGTTCTGTTACTGATGTCTGTGAATGCAGACCTTCCCCCAAGTCATTGGCTGTAGCGATTTCCACTTCTTCTAAGTATAAGTGTAGGCCATCCTATACTTGCTATTTGCATATGTCATTCCTAACCTTCAGTATTTGCTGCACATATGTGCATTTACAAACCTCACATGTTGCATGGAGTTTGTCTAATCTTTGCTTCAAGCTGCCCTTCCCTAAGTAGTAGGGAGTATTTAGTAGGCAGCTGAAGGTTTGTTCTTCCTACATTCGTGGTTCATTGCTTGGTGCTCGATTAGAAGCCTCGGAGTGGGCCCCCATGGTATTTAGGGACCCAGAGTTGGAGGGGATAAAAAAATTTTCCCCTCCAACGAGAAAGGAGAAAATGTTGGAGGAGAAAACAGTTCCACTCGTTTCAAGTTTGTCCTTCCTCATTCTCTCCCTGCTAATGTGATTCTCCCAGCATCTGGTCTTCCTCCATAGTTTGGGCCCTGAAATTTGCCTGACTTTACCTGAGGGTGAATTTACCACTATCTCTTTAGTGGCCTTGATGAGGTCAGGAAGCCAGCAGCTTGTCCAAGGTCCCCCTATTTGTCCTGATGATTTTGTCGAGCTAAATCATAAAATTCAGCATTATTTTGGTATTTACAACTTTGATCAGTAGGCAGTTCCAAGGGGTTTATAACCCTGTGGGTGAAACAAGTATTTCCTGTTTGATGTTCTACATGGTGGCGTGTTGAGCTTGAAACCATTGTTCCTTGTTTGTGTTACATCTGACCTTTTGAAAAAGTGGTCTGGATCAATACCCTCCAAATTGTTCAGATCACTCCAAAAGTTTTGATGAGATCAGCCCTGTCATGTCTGGTTTGCAGTGTTCTTAGCCCTGTGGTATTCAACTGATCCTGATATAGGAGTCGATAGAGTTCAGGAATTATTTTTATTGCTCGGTGTTGAAATTTCTCCAAAGCAGCTATATCTTTCTGAAGATGAGTTCTCCATGCTTGGATATACAATAATCCAAATAAGAGTAGACCAGAGATTTGTGCAGTTATATAGCAACCTTCTTTTCCTTGAAGTCAAAGTTTCATTTGACTATTCCTAGGATTTGGTTTGCTATTTTTTATGGCAGCTTCCACTTATTGTGCAATTTTCAGTGAGTGATGGGTTCTGACTCCAAGGTCCTTTTCTTCATAAATCTGTTGCAAGGTAATACAGTATTGTTATTTTGATAGTTGTGATGGGCATTCTTATGCCCCACATGCAAGGTCTTGCAGTTTTAGATATTAAAAAGCATTTGCCAGTTTTCTGATAAATTATGGAGTTCATGCAGATATCTTTGTAAGGCTTCCATATAATTTTCTCTTCCCACTTTACCATAAATCTTAGTGTCATCTGTAAATTTGATGAAGTGGTTTGTAATATTCTCATCTATGTTATTAATGCAAATGACAAAAAGGGTTGGCCCCAAAATGTTTTGAGTTTCAAAGCTCAGTCAAGGTTTAGATTTGGGTGTAGCTCAGCTGCCTTTAAAGTCTGCCCCATCCACTTTGTCAGTGGAGTGTTTCCACAAGGTAGTTTATCTAGCTCATATCCTCTTTGGGATGATGCCTTCTTGTCTCAGGCATCGGGTGTGGAATACGGTTCTGCTCCAGGGGTCATCACAGCTGACTTTCAGGGCTGGGGAGAAGAACCCAAGGATGGTCCCTGGGTGCCCTTCAACAATTCCTGGTCACTGATTCCATCTCTGAAGAATATTTTACCATAGGGAAGGACTTATACTACCATCTATGTATGAGTTAGATTGCTTGGGTGCCTCCCCCCTTGCCCTTCCCTACCGATGCGCTTTCACGTGTAGTTTGGTTCCGCGGAAATGTCTGATTTCCAAAGGATTTTTCGGCTTTCTTTGTCTTTGAATTCTAGTCTGCTTCTGCCTTTTGTATGAAGTCCCTAATTCATCCTGGCATGCTGACACCCTTTCCTTTGTGAATTGGCATGGCTTTTGTCAAACCTGGATGCTTGACTGGAAGGAATTGATTTCCTTTTATCAGGTGTTCTTGGGTAGTGCTCTTTCTGGGAGAAGCCCCTTGTGGCTCCCTGAAGATATGTGCTGAGATGATACCATCAATTAAGTCGCATCAGCTGTAGAGTTCAATAGGCCTACTGGAGACCAGAGCCAGAACCTGGCCTCCCCTCACAAAGGTGCAGGGAGAGGTGACATTTGTTTCCACTACCTTACTTGGAAGGCATCCAGATAGTCAGAAACAAAACAAACTTCACTGTACTGCTGGATTCAAAAGAGACCGAAGCCTCAAAACCTGCCAAAAAGAACTTCCCCAAGTATGTAAACAAATGATTGAATTTCTCAGAACTAGCACAAGTTCATTTACCCTATCTCTCTCACTCATTTGCAGGAAGAGGAAGGTAGCTTATTTGCTAACATACAAGGCATCAAAACATGCAAAACAAAGTCCACTTTCTAACTGGTCTCCCAAATGAGGCACATGTAATGTTAGCAGCTTTGTGCAGACGAGGAGTCACAATAACGTGGCTGAAATATGTTGACCAAACCACACACTAGAAAGTGAAGGGACGACGACGTTTCGGTCCGTCCTGGACCAAGTATCTGGTGGACTTGAGAATGCTCCAGGACTACTCACAATCGACTTGAGAATGGTCCAGGACGAACCGAAACGTCGTCTTCCCTTCACTTTCTAGTGTGTGGTTTGGTCAACATATTTGCAGCTTTGCCTGAAACTCACACAGGACTATTATGACAAATGAGATATAGATACAGTACCAGAATTCAATCTTTTCAGATGTGATAGAAAACATAGGCTACCAGGGTTGGGTTAGCATATACATCAAAGCCACTCATCTGCACAGAGCTGGTAAACACCAGAAATAATATTATGAAATAATATTCCACCATATTGGGGAGTTCTTTTGGTGGTTTTCAAGACTGCAGTCTAGCTTATAGCCTGCAGTGGTCAATTTTAGTTCGCTGACTTTCTGGGTGCATTCCTGGTGGTGACCGACATGAATAAATTCACAGTACTGTTATTTTATCATAGTGCCACTGCTTCCCGCACCTCTTTGAGAGGGGGGGGCCAGGTTCTGGCTTCTGGTCTTTGGTAGGTCTAAAAGACCTCTGTTGACTACTGGCACCTAGTAGATTGGCACACTATCAGAGATAGTAACTTCAGTGAGTCACCGAGGCTCACCCAGAAATTGGTGTTTCATTACATATAATGCTAATTTTTTTTTTACCTTCCTGGCTAGAATTCCTGCTAATCGGGATATCCAGCTAACTCATGGAGGGATGGGCCCCATATGGTCCTGATAAGTGATAGTAGACAATTCAGTATTTAAAACGAAATTCTATGGTTTGTTTTCATTTCAAGTTGCCATTTTCACTTAGATATGGACCCCTTCTTCCTTTCAAAATGAGGTTTTGAGGCTGGGGCATTGGAAATATGCTAAAAGTATTAAAATCTTTTTACAGCAGGTTCTTGTTGTAGTTGTCCATCATATGTTGGGTTGAAATTAAACATTTTCTCCATGAAATTAACCCAAAGAGTGTGGGAAATATTAGGGTATGAATAATACCTGTCTTAATATGGCTTCTATCACATTTTTATTGATTTTCTTAGATGGAAGCAAAGTTAGAAGAAAGAAACAGGTGAAGTAATGTTTCCTTGCTTTTAAAAATATAAGGAAATTTTCAGCTCACAAATGCCACAGAGGTCGGCCGAGCGGACAGCACGCTGGACTTGTGATCCTGTGGTCCTGGGTTCGATCCTAGGCGCCGGCGAGAAACAATGGGCAGAGTTTCATTCACCCTATGCCCCTGTTACCTAGCAGTAAAATAGGTACCTGGGTGTTAGTCAGCTGTCACGGGCTGCTTCCTGGGGGTGGAGGCCTGGTCGAGGACCGGGCCGCGGGGACACTAAAGCCCCGAAATCATCTAAGATAACCTCAAGATAGGAGGCATCTGTTGCAATGAATCCCTTACCCCAACAAATCTGGATTGGTCCCATATAGGTCACAGAATCGAGATTGCACTGTATGTTTTGGGCTGATATCTGGGCTTGGGGGTTTTGGAGGATTGAGAGGGCTCTGGTGACTTATTACCTGGTCTGTATTCCTGGTTCCTGTCATGCTTGTGTTGCCTTTGTGGATTTGATTTTTTCTCTGTGGTTAGTTAGCAACAGGAAGCTTTGTTCAGCCTCCAGAAAACCAGCATTGAATGTAACTAATCACTTCTTTCTTGGGGAGAGCCATGGTAGCTTCATGAACCCCCCTCCTTTCCTCTACCAAATGTATTGGTTGACTTTTGTTTAGTTCATGATTTAGAATTGTTGAAAGGGGCAGCTTCCCTGCTGCTGCCACCTGATGGTGGGCAGCTGCTACTAGGGAAAGTATGATCTAACTACTGGTTGGATCGTTTTCTGATTGACCTTGTAGCTATCTGTTTTGCTTCGCCTACTTTCTGGGGGTTTGATTTCGGTGAGGGTGATGATGACTTCTTGGCTCTCTGGGCCTCTGTGAAGGGACCAGATTTTGGCATCCTGTTTCCTATAGGGTTTTTAAGACTTGCAAAGGCTGCTGCTGTGACTTATTAAGTGTAATTACCTAAGTGTAGTTACAGGATGAGAGCTACGCTCATGGTGTCCCGTCTTCCCAGCACTCTTTGTCATATAACGCTTTGAAACTACTGACGGTCTTGGCCTCCACCACCTTCTCACTTAACTTGTTCCAACCGTCTACCACTCTATTTACGAAGGTGAATTTTCTTATATTTCTTCGGCATCTGTGTTTAGCTAGTTTAAATCTATGACCTCTTGTTCTTGAAGTTCCAGGTCTCAGGAAGTCTTCCCTGTCGATTTTGTCAATTCCTGTTACTATTTTGTATGTAGTGATCATATCACCTCTTTTTCTTCTGTCTTCTAGTTTTGGCATATTTAATGCTTCTAACCTCTCCTCGTAGCTCTTGCCCTTCAGTTCTGGGAGCCACTTAGTAGCATGTCTTTGCACCTTTTCCAGTTTGTTGATGTGCTTCTTAAGATATGGGCACCACACAACAGCTGCATATTCTAGCTTTGGCCTAACAAAAGTCATGAACAATTTCTTTAGTATATCGGCATCCATGTATTTAAATGCAATTCTGAAGTTAGAAAGCATAGCATAGGCTCCTTGCACAATATTCTTTATGTGGTCCTCAGGTGATAGTTTTCTATCTAGAACCACTCCTAGATCTCTTTCTTTATCAGAATTCTTTAAAGATTTCTCACATAATATATAGGTTGTGTGGGGTCTATGTTCTCCTATTCCACATTCCATAACATGACATTTATTAACATTAAATTCCATTTGCCAAGTGGTGCTCCATATACTTATTTTGTCCAGGTCTTTTTGAAGGGCATGACAGTCATCTAAATTTCTTATCCTTCCTATTATCTTAGCATCATCAGCAAACATGTTCATATAATTCTGTATACCAACTGGTAGATCATTTATGTACACAATAAACATCACTGGTGCAAGAACTGAACCCTGTGGTACTCCACTTGTGACATTTCTCCATTCTGATACATTGCCTCTGATTACTGCCCTCATTTTTCTATCAGTCAGAAAATTTTTCATCCATGATAGAAGCTTACCTGTCACCCCTCCAATATTTTCCAGTTTCCAGAACAACCTCTTATGTGGAACTCTGTCGAAAGCCTTTTTTAGGTCCAGATAGATGCAGTCAACCCAACCATCTCTTTCCTGTAATATCTCTGTGGCTCGATCATAGAAACTGAGTAAATTCGATACACAGGATCTTCCAGATCGAAAACCATACTGTCTGTCTGATATTATATCATTTCTCTCTAGGTGTTCTACCCATTTAGTTTTGATTAGTTTTTCCAATACTTTCACTATTACACTTGTTAATGATACAGGTCTATAATTGAGGGGGTCTTCCCTGCTGCCACTTTTGTAGATTGGAACTATGTTAGCCTGTTTCCACCCGTCTGCTACAATTCCTGTACACAGGGATGCCTGAAAGATCAGGTGAAGTGGAATGCTGAGCTCAGATGCACATTCTCTCAGAACCCATGGTGAAACGCCATCTGGGCCAGCTGCTTTGTTCTTACCGAGCTCCTTGAGCATTTTTTCCACTTCGTCTCTAGACACCTCTATGTGTTCTCTGGAATTCTTATTGTATCTGTTTCCCTAAAGATTTCATTTTGTACAAACACACTTTGGAACTTTTCGTTTAGTGTTTCACACATTTCCTTTTCATCTTCCGTGAATCTATTTCCCATTTTCAACCTCTGAATATTATCCTTTACCTGCAATTTGTTGTTTATGAATTTATAGAATAGACCTGGTTCTGTTTTACATTTGTCCGCAATCCCTTTTTCAAAATTTCTTTCTGCCTCTCTCCTCACTGCCGTGTAGTTTTTCTCGCATCTTTGTATCGCTGGTATGTTTGGGGGTTCGGCCTCTTCCTGTATTGATTCCATTTTTGTGTCTTTCGGTCTCTAGCCCTCTCGCAATTTCTATTGAACCAATCCTGTTTCCTAGTTCTGCATCTCTGTTTTGGTATAAATTTTTTGTGCCTTTATCATATATTTCACAAAACTTGCCATACATCTCATTCACTTCCTTGCCTAGCATCAAGTCTGTCCAATTATACTCACTAAAAAAATTTCTAAGGTCACCATAATGTCCTCTCCTGAAGTCTGGTTTTTCAACTGCTTCAACCTCCTTATTTTCTTCCAGCTTATAACGCATTGCATACTTTATTCCCAAAAAGACATGGTCACTTTTACCCAAGGGAGGAAGGTACTGAATGTCAAATATCTCTTCCTCCTTCCTGGTAAATATCAAATCTAGCATGGAGGGAACGTCCCCTTCCCTCATCCTCGTAGCTTGTTTAACATGTTGATACAAGAATGTTTCCAGGATGAGGTCTACAAATTTACAGGTCCAAAAATCTTCTGTTTTAGCTTCATATGCTTCCCAGTCTATGGATTTCAAGTTGAAGTCACCGACTATCAACAGTCGTGATCTATCGTTATCCGCTCTCGCTATAATCTCTCTCATTATTGTTATAAGACCTTCACGTTTACTATCTAGCTCCTCCTTTGACCATGTGCTGCTTGGCGGTGGACTATATGCATTTATCATCATTAGTTTATCATCCTCATAGCAGATCTCTAGTGCTATTATGTCAACTTCTTGTGGATTGGCAGTCATTATTTCCTTCACCTTTAGGTGTTCTTTTACCAGCACAGCAACGCCACCGCCTTTCCTAATTTTTCTGTCCCGTCTCCAAATTGAGTAGCCCCTTGGGAATATGACCTCATTTAAAATTACATCTTCAAGTTTTGTCTCCGTGAGTGCAACAATGTCTGGTGTCTGCAGCTGTATTACATCACTTAACTCCAGTATCTTCGATCTCACTCCATCTATGTTGGTGTATGCAATCTTCAGGAACTTGTTCCCCCTGTGTGGAGCTATCTCAGTGCTCCTACCAACAGGAACCTACACAGAAAGATGTTTCATTACATTTCATGTTTTTTTTTAGTTTCTCTGAAGGTTCTGAATTTCTGGTTTGCAAATATCAGAGGTTATACTGCTCCTGTACTACATTGTGGTTGGAGATGAGCATACCTGCACCAGTTGCCCTGATATGCTTGATTTAACTTCCAGTTACAATTCAAACTTGATTTAACTTCCAGATTTAACTAACTTTAAGATAAGTTAGTAAACTATATTTTAATTTATCCTCAGAAACAATATGGGTGATCGTACAAGTTGATTCAGGTGGCACATTAGCCTTGATGCAGCAAATGGTCAATCTAAAGGAATTAGGATCACCTCCATCAGCAACTCGGTCTACTCCTGCCACAACATTCACCAACCCATTTGCCCCATTACACCTCGGCCAGCTTCAGATCCAGCAGCCACCTCAGCAACAAGAACAGCAACATCATATGAATGGAAATTTTCAAAGTCAACAACCAAGTGAAATTTCCATATGTTCTCCTCTCACTCATAGTTGTCAACAGGATCCCGATGGGGATGTAGGGATGAGTTAGTGCAATTATAATTAGTGATTTGGGCCCTTTGTAGGTTGCTCATTTGAGCTTTGAATTAAGTTCTATGCTTCCAGAACCTTTGTGTGAAAAATTCTGAATGAACGTGTAAACTTTTTATATTGTAAAGAATTAGATACTGGTGACCATGTTTTCTATTTGCCAGTCTTTTTTTAAGTTAAATTGATAAATTGTAATAGGTTAGATTCTATCAAGTGGACATACCACTTCCTAAATTTAATGCACAAATTTTAAGATGGGTGGTAGACATTGGGATATTATAACCGTCATGTGGGTTCTGGTTACATAGGCATAATAAAATGCTCTGTTGCTTATTTAAGCAAAAAATACTACTGTGATTTCACCCACTCATGCCTGAATGATGTATGATAGAAACAAACTGAATGACTGAAAATACACTTCATTTAAAATTATATGAAGGTGTTGGTTTGAGAACTGGGAGATATACACAAGATGGTGAAGGGGAACATTATCAGGTGGGTTGAGCCAGTGCATCGAGTTAGAGTTTACAGAGGTGTAGACTCCACAACTCGTCCAGTTATTTGCAAATATAGATATATCAAATTTTTAAATCTATAAAGAGTTTACATATAAACTATTAGCTTTAAGTTGTAAGAGTATTTCTAACTGGGAAGGAAACCTATGACGGGAGTTTTACAAAATGATACATTGTAGACAAGAAGCCCCAAGTTGATTGGGGCTTCTATAAAAAAAAAAATCTATAAAGAGTTTACATTTAAACTATTAGCTTTAAGTTGTAAGAGTATTTCTAACTGTGAAGGAAACCTATGATGGGAGTTTTACAAAATGATACATTGTAGACAAGAAGCCCCAAGTTGATTTAAATGTTCTTTAATTCTTTTTAAATGTTCATTTTATATTTTGATGTCCATATTTAATGTATGAATTGTTGTTCATGCTTTATGTGGGTTTTAGGCAATGGTCACTTTGTTGGGAAGTGCATGAGAGGTTGGTAGTGGTTTATTCCTGAAGTGTTTACAGACTTTTAAAATGCTAATATGGTTTATCGGGATTGTATGGATGCGAGTAAGAGTCATTTTAATTCCTTTTAATAAATTTTATTGAGTTTTGCACATTACATGCCTAAGGTAAGGCAGCTTCTATGAAGTAGTTACAAATAATTTAGGTACAATACGTTGTGTATCTAATGTTTACATACATATTTTACATAATTTTTGGGCTTTTAACTTTCTATTAAAAGGATTTTCTTCACTCTGTCTTCCCTTTCATTCTTATTCTCTTATGGTAGTTTGACTCTTTTCAGCTTTGCATATATATTTGTTTTGTTTTTATATGATTATATGCTAATTCTTTCTTTACCAGCCTTTCTTTCTACCATCCAGCCCAACCACTTGGACTAGACGGTAGAGCAACAGTCTCCCTTCATGCAGGTCGGCGTTCAATCCCCGACCGTCCATAAGTGGTTGGGCACCATTCCTTTCCCCCATCTCATCCCAAACCCTTATCCTGACCCCTTCCCAGTGCTATACTCTATAGCCGTAATGGCTTGGCGCTTTCTCCTGATAGTTCCCGTTCCTTTTTCAAGAAAATAGTTTTGATTATGCTTTAAATATCTTCTTTTTTCCTTAATCTCTTAACAGTTATGTACTTATTTTTAATGCAATTACTAAAATCCAAGATATTCTTATCAAGTCTGGTCACAAATTTTCTAACATTTTTGTAATGATTGCATGTTCACAGATATCAGTACAGTACTGTAGTACTGTACATATTAGATCTAATTTTGTTACTTTTTCAGTAGCTATCTGAGACCCATACTGACCTACTGACAGCCAGGACCAGAATCTGACAATCTCTATGAGGGTAGGGGTGCTTGGGTATTGAGAGTTACTAGTAATATAGAAATACTGACTTGAAAGTCAGATGAAACTAACCACTTCTATAAAGAAAAAAATTAAGATGAAAATAAGACAATTGAAAGATTTGTTTACCTTGTTTATATATACTAGTTGGATCATGATAAATCTTCCACCCCTGTTCAGAGCTGGATTTTGCTGCTTACAGCTTTCCAGGATCTATTTTGCTGTTCTTGAACTCCAGTTGTAATTCCTGCTTGCTCCATCATTTTGCTTGTTGTATACAGGACTGCTGCCGTTGCTGGCAACCTGGCAGGCTGATTTCTTCTTGTGAGTCAGTACTTTGTGGTATTGGCATTTGTTTTCCTGGTGCATTTCTGAGTCCCTGTCCATGGTTAGGAAACACGTCCCCTCTGCAGGTTTCTGCTGTCTCGTGTACCTCCATATCTTGATCGGTGGGGGTTTAATTCTGGTCCTACTTTGGTGGAACTTTTCTCATGTGCCAGGCTTGGATCTAATTTTGTTTTCTTTTTTTTTTGCCTTAAGAAGCAGCTTGATCTTTATGCTCTCCATATTCATACTGATGGTGGTGTTGTTCTTGGCATATTAGCCTTTTTCCGTCCCTGGTGGTTGTTGCTGGACTTGTTCCACTATGTATGTGTTGTAATTACATAAGTGTAGTTACAGGATGAGAGCTATGCTTATGGTGTCCCGTCTTCCCAGCACTCTTTATCATATAACGCTTTAAAACTACTGACGGTTTTGGCCTCCACCACCTTTTTACCTAACTTGTTCCATCCGTCTACCACAATATTTGCAAAAGTAAATTTTCTTATATTTCTTGGGCATCTTTGTTAAGTTAGTTTAAATCTGTGACCTTTTGTTCTTGAAGTGCCAGGTCTCAGGAATTCTTCCCTATCAATTTTATCAATTCTTGTTAGTATTTTGTATGTAGTGATCATATCGCTTCTTTTTCTTCCATCTTCTAGTTTTGGCATATTTAATGCCTATAACCTCTCCTCGTAGCTCTTGGCCTTCTGTTCCTGGAGCCACTTAAGGTTCATGTCTTTGCACCTTTTCCAGTTTGTTAATGTGCTGCTTCAGATATGGGCACCATACAACAGCTGCATATTCCAACTCTTTTAATGCTTGTTTTGGTGCTCAAGTTCTCTCCTGCATTCTGGTTGTAATAAGTTGTTCTAGATTCTAAGTACCACGTGTTTTTGTGTTTCTCTTCTCCTATTCTCTGCTGGGAAGTCTTTTCTTTGCCAGTTCAGAGGTTCTGCCTTTGGTGGTGGCATTTTCATGGGGTCTCCTTGATGACTTTTTGCTTCCTTCAGTTTCCTGTGGAGGCCTCCTGCTAGGTTCTGAGTTCTTTTCTCTCACTATTGAGGTGAAAGGTTTACTCTTGGTCATCTGGCCTTCGAGCTTTGCTCTTCTTGGTTTCAGCCTAAAAGTATGCTTCCCCCCATAATGAGTTTGTTGGTTGCAGGTACCAATTCTTGATTTTTCTTTTGCAGATGAAACGGATTTTTATGAGAGTTGTGACAATATAGAGGACACAACAAACCTCCAAACTGATGTAAATCAGGTCTTTCAACGGGCCACAGAAAAAGTGTTTAATGAAGATAAGCTCCCATTCCAATACTATAGAAAAACAAAAATATTAAACCAGAAACCACATAAAATGTAGTCAAATCACACTGTAGAATGAAAAAGCAATATTAAAGTTTTTTGAATAGTTATGTTGGAAGACATAAACACAATAAACACAATCTTTTAAACACAATAACGTAGCTGTGACAGCTGCAAAAAAAATAATAAATAATAATAATAAAAAATAATAGTTTGGATAACAAGAACCTTGTAAATAAGAAATGGCGGACAGATGATGATATGATACAGTACTCTATAAAACACTAGTGCTCTCTAAGGTGGATTATTGTTGCACAATAACAGCCCATTCATAGCTGGAGAAATTGCTGACTTGGAGATTCTGTAAAGATGTTTTACTACTTGCATCCACTCAATAAAACATCTAAATTATTGGAACTGCTTAAAGTTGTTAAATCTGCTTTCTCTAGAGCAGAAGTGAGAGATATATAATAATTTGCATTTAGAAAATGTTAAGAGGGACTGGTTTAGATCTTTAATCCCCCAAGCACTCCTCATCTCGGAGAGAGAGCGAGCCAGATTTTAGTCCTGGCTCCCAATAGGTCAGCGGACATCCGAGAGACCTGGCACTATCCTTAGGTTTAGCAGTACCAGTGCTACTGAGGGCCAATCAGAAAAGCGTGTTTCATTACATTCAACACTGGATTGTTGTTGACTTTGTTGAAATATTGCAAAGAGAATGTTGCTGTGAAAAAGTCGACATAGAGTGTATAAGGTACATCTTGTGTGGAAGTGCTGCTAATATAAATGTGAATAAACAAAAATTATTAATGTGTTAAAATTATTATTTTTATTTAGAATTTCCAAAACTGGTTACAGTATTCTTAAATTAAGCTATGTTTTCCTATTGCTGTTGTACTTTTTTTTTTTTTTAACTTTTGAGACATTTTCATCTGTGCCATTATTTTGTATTGATTTGTGTAGGTTGCACCTGCTTATTTGACATATATTCCTAAGAAAGAAATATGTAAAACTTAAAAAAAAAAAAAGTGTTAAAATATTATTGTTGAATCTCTTACTGTGTGAAAGTGTGGCGTTAGTGTATAACAGAAATGCTTAAGGAATATTCTACATTGATCAATCATTTCTATCAACAGAAAAGGCTAGGCTATACTCTTGAAAACAAAAATATTTTTTTTTTTGTAACTGCTCATGTCCTATAATAATTTAACACTGTCACTGCAAAATACTTTTATCTTTCTATGTTATATTTCAAACTTACAGATATTTTTCATAAATATTATTTTTACATTAAGGCCTGGATTGTTTTGATTGTACCAATTTCCATCACATTGTGGTATTGCCTTTACACTAATATTTGTCTATGTCCTTTACTTCTCTGTTGGACAGGAAAATTTAAATGGTTTATGTATTGAGCACAATTGGGAAGTATTTATAGCTACACAAACTTTTTCATAAATAAGGGGTAGAGGGTAATCGTCATTGTCCATTATGATTAATCTGGAAAGCAATTTGTGGTTCACTTCCTACTCTGGAATTTGGTTTACACAATAACTTAATGGAATTTTTTGTTATGTGTATTTCTCAAGAACCTTTAAATTGGTTAGCATTCACAAATTATACCTATTATTATTTGGGTAAGGCAACTCTGGGTTTGTACAATAACATTATTTGAAAACCTATAGAGTATACACCTGCTGCTAATGCACTGACTTACGGAATGTGGTGTATCTTGCAGGTTTTAGGGCTCCTACCCTCGACCCTGGATGAGTTTGAATGGATCCCCGTACACAGGTGTAAAGTTTTTTATACCGTAAATGTTAAAAGCAATTGGTTTAGAAATCCAATCGAGTATGCGTGTGAAAAAGCATGAATTTAAATTAATTGCTGTATAATATATTTGATATTTCTTCCATAATATTTGTATCAGACTTAAGTAGAACTACTTATGAATGGGCAGATACAAAGGTGAAAATTAGTACTGTATGCCCTTGATACTGTAGAGAAAAAAGTTTTTGTCCTTTGGGCAGGTGTAAATGCTTATCATAGGGATTATTTTTTAGAACCAATATTGGCACATAATATCTTTGAGGTTGGGTATCTCAGGTGTATCCAAAGAATATTCTTTAATAAAAGATAGAGCATTTATGAATTTTTTTTTTATGGTAGATAAAACAAGAACCTAGCTTTTTATTTTTATCTGTCATCAGCAAAGGCAATTTTGTGCACGCAAGGTCGGCATTCAATCCCCGACTGTCCAAGTGATTGGGAACCATTCGTTCCCTCCATCCCGTCCTAAATCCTTATCCTGACCCCTTCCAAGTGTTATAAAGTTGTAATGGCTTGGTGCTTTCTTCTGATAATTAAAAAAAAAAGAGCGCAGGACCCATGAAACCCATCAGAGTAGAAATTACACAGTCGTAGTGATGGCATAATTCAGAGCTTCTCTTAGGTGTTGTTATATACTAAACTTTGGCAACATTTGGTTTATTATAGTAGAGCAATTATGAGAGAATTCAACAAAGGAACCAGATCAATGTATAGTATTTACAAATGCAATCCAGATGTACTGTACTTCAGACTGCTTCTATTTCCTGTCTGTTTTTAGATTTTCTGGGCTTCCTTCTCAGTAGCTCCTCACAACTTCTGCTCGGCTATTACTGGTTCAAGTTCAAGTAAGTTTATTGAGAAAAGGAAGTACATCTCAAAAGAATAGAGTAGCTTGGCTATTTCAATCCTCGTCTATATAAGGTCCCTCAAGGGGGCTCACAAACCAATACAATACACAGTTATTAATCATATTTTACATTTCACATTCCAATGGTAATTCTATGAGATCTACCCTGTCGTGCTTGGTCTGCAGTGTTGTTAGCCCAGTGGCCCTCAACCGTTCCTGATACGAGAGATGACTAAGCTCTGGTATGATTTTTGTTGCCCAGTGTTGCATCTTCTCCAGTGCAACTATGTCTTTCCGAAGATGAGGTCTCCATGCCTGGATGCAATAATCAGGGTGAGGGTGCACCAGAGACTTGTACAATTGAGTGAATACTTTCTTTTCCTTGAAGGTAAAGGTACGCTTGATTATTCCCAGGGTTTGGTTCACTTTTTTTTACTGCACTCCCACTTGTGCAACTTTTAGTGAATTATGAATTCTGAGTCCATGGTCCTTTTTTTTCATCTATCTGTTGTAAGGTAGTGCTGTCAATTTGGTAGTTGTGACATGGATTGTTATGCCTCACATGCAAGGTCTTGCATTTTTCGAATTAAAAAGCATTTGCCAGTTATCTGACCATTTGTGGAGTTCATGTAGATCTTTTTGTAAGGTCTCAATATCTTTGCTTCCCACTTTACCATAGTGGTAAATTGATTATGCTGCCCCTGTCATTTTTTGTTTTAAATAATTTCAAGAAATGACAGTAGGTCTCATTTCAGCCTAAGGAAGACTAAACAAGTTGGAGAAGGTACAAACTGAAGCAATGAGGATTATCCCAAGATTATTCTCATCGCCCAAGAAATATTATTACTGAGATAATGATAATATGATTGAACTTACAGACTATCGGGGGATAAAATTTCAGAGATAAATGAAGCTTCGGTGATTAGATTGATGAGATCTAAGGAAGCCAATGAATTAAATTTCAACCTTTTTATACTGAAAATATTCAAAATTAATGCTAACGGCAATGGGTGAGATTTTGCCCAAATTAATATACAGTTTTCAAAATATTGGAAATATGACTCTTTGGATGTTACTTTTGAGCGGAATTCATGGTGATTGCACATATTTAGAGTTTTAAACGGCAATGAGAGAGATTTTGCCCAAATTGACGGACAATTTTAAAAATAATGGAAATATCAGAAATATGACTTTGACGTTATTTTTTAGCAGAATTCATGGTGATGGGACATATTTGAAGTTTTAAGTTACGACATTTCATACCAAAAATATTCAAATTAGTGAAAATGGGGGTTGGGTGAGATTTTGCCCAAATTGACCTACAATTTTCAAGATATCAGAAATATGAATCATGAATGTTATGTATGAGCTGAATTCATGGTGATTGCACATATTTGGAGTTTTAAATTATGACTTTTTATATTGAAAACATGAAAGTTAATGAGTTAATTTAGTTCATTTATTATACACCCCATACCCATCTTGTGGGCGGTAGTGGAAAGGGTTACAGTGTCACATAATTGGCTCGAGGATTGAACCCCACAATTCATTTAGCTAATCAAATTACAAAATTGAATGCACATCGTCACATCAACAATGGGCTCGACACCGACCACAAGTACAGTTTCTAAATTAAGCAACTGATATATGTGGAGAGCAAGTGTCACAACTGATATGCCCGAAACGCTATGTGTGCTAGTGGCTTTACAAGAATGTAAAACTTAAAGTCTCTGTACTCTAATAAACCCAATGTACCTTCTTGTATATACATAAAATAAATAAATAAATATGTTTGTCCAGCACACCACCCCCCCCCATCCAGTGGGCAGTGATGGATAGGTTATAATCACTCAGTTACTACCTACAGTTAGCAAACTGGGGATATTTGGCCAAGACTTCTGGCAGCAGATCATTTTGAATGAAATATTTACACATCTTTGGAACATTGGTTATAGAATTGTCTTTGAATTCACGCATCTTTTCACACTCCATCACATAGTGACGGAGGGTGTGCAAATAATTTTGTTGACACAGTTTACATTTGGTCACATCTCCATCAGCAGATAATGAGGATTCCCAGAGATACTTGTAATCGAGTCTAAGCTGAGCAGTAGTAACATCTAGAAATTTGCTTATTTTACTGGATGATCCATAGAAGTGTGGTTCGTCTTGCATGATAATATGATAATAGATGGAATTACTGGTGTCGATTTCACTTTGCCTCAGATCCACAAGATTTTGTTGAAGTTCTTGGTGTACTATTGCTCTCAGACTGCTTATTGAAAATCCAAGGTTGTACTCAATTTCTCCGATTAATAATCATCAAGCCTCTATGATTAATCTGTTGTTGTTTTAGATTTAGCTACTCAGAACGAAATGTCCATGTAGCACGGGCTATGGTGAGCCCGTAATTGAGTTCGGTTATTCGCGATAACCTTGTTACTGTGATATTTGGGTCAAAGTTTTAAATGGAGGTGGGGATTCCTCCTTTTGCCCTGTATCTTTTTCGCTTCTGTTCTAGTGCACTGGTTTTAGTCTTGTTTTAATAACATTATCTTGGCAGCGGATGTAGATGCAGAATGCTCACTAGCGAGTCCCATTCCTCAACGGCTTTTCTTATCATTGTAGTTGCTGTGGAATGTGCATCTAATGCAGCTGCTGTCGTGGGATTAATGTTGAGTTTGATGCGCAGGGCTTCAATAGCTTCACATTCCAGTAAGTAATGCAATAGTGGCGCCTCTGCTTCTGTTCCACAGATATGACACTCTTTAACTATTGGGTTCATTACCTCCCAGCAGCACTTGTAACCAAGTCTGAGTCTGTGTATGGCTACTGCAATGTCTTTGGATATCTTTTTGTCAGGCTTGAGAGTAGTACTCGGTGGCTTGTTCGTACCATATCGCAGTGGATCTTCCGCTACTTTGGCTCTGTGGCGACCTTTGATAGTTGGGTTTATTTTCTTCTTGATTTGCTCCTTAATCTGTGAAAAACTTGGAGATATTTGAACCTGTACAACAGGTAGAGCAGTGGCAGTTTTTGCTAGTGAGTCTGCCTTTTCATTACCATCTATGCCAATGTGACTTGGTATTCAATTTAGGGTGATTGACAGCCTTAGATTATGGGCTTCTTATCCCTATATGTTGGATTTCTGTGAGGAGTTGTATATTATCTCTGTGCTGACTGGATAACAATGCCTGGAGCGAAGATTTAGAGTCAGTATGAATGATGACATCATGTAAATTATTCTCAATTGTATAGTTTATGGCCTCCTTCAGGGCATATAATTCTGTTTGCAATGTTGAGCATCCACTATTCATGCTCCAGTAAGCTTCATGGTTGTTAGTGTAAACTGTTGTCCCAGCAGAACCTCTTTCTTGATCAACTAATCCATCTATGAAGATGTGAGTCGTTGTAGGTCTTGAGATGGTTTCCATTTGTTGTTCTATGACTGCTTTGAGCCTCTGCGAGTCACATGCGAATTTTTTAACTGGTAATCCTTCAATGATTATCTTTAGACTCGATTCTTCCCATGGAGGAGAAGATTTTCCCCTGCCGAAAGTGTTGATATGGTCTATCTTCCCCTTTGTTTTTAATGGTCCATTTCAAGTCCACTTTCTCTAGAATCTTGACCAGATTATCCGTCCATGCTCTTGTTCTATATTGAAGGTTTCCCTGAAGCATATATGATTAATCACTTCTCGATTGCTTATATGATTGGACTACACCTAACCTCATCGTCTTTCAATAGGTTGGAAGGAATGTTAACTGTAATTAGGGAAGAGATACGAGTTTCATCATTAGTGCTAACGAGAGTTGTGCTACGCTCATTAAGCTAATGAGTTTGGAGCAAGTATATTGTTTACATAATATACTCGCTACATATGCAAGGTACATCATTTTGATAATTCTGACTGGCACCATAGCCTGGGTAATAACCTGCAACAGCCTAGAGAGCTCTGAGCCTCTTTTTATACTGGTGACAGTCTGAATCCAACAGGACTATACAGTGGCACCTCAAGGCCAAGGTATTTGAATCTGTTAACATAGTCAAGCTGGAAGTTATCATACAGTTTCATCTTGCGAACAGTTCCTCCCTGCCTGGGTGGACACTAATTTAATATCTTTGTTTTCTCTGCTGAGTTGACTAAACCTAGGTCCCGACATGAGTCTAATACAGAGTTATGAATGTTCTGCGTGTTAGCATACCCAGTGGTGTGTATCATATCATCAGCATAGCTAATGATATGCACGTTGGGTTTGCTCGGTACAGAGTTTAACAGTGTGTTTATTAAGATAATAAATAATGTAGGACTGAGAACACTTCCCTGCGGGGTGCCTAGTTCGAAGTCTCTTGTTACACTCCTATGCCCCTGGAAAAATGCAGATGACTTCCAGTTGGATAAGTAACAGCGATTGGTCATATCTTGCCCAAATTGATCTGCAGTTTTCAAAATATGATGCCTATCAGAAATATGACTTTTAAGCGTAATCTTTTTTTAACGGAATTCAGGGTGATTACACATATTTGGAGTTTTAAATTGAGATTTTTTATGCTTTTAAAGCTCCCGTAGAGAAGTCCTAGTTGAAGCTCCTGTAGAGAAGTCCAAGTTGAAGCTACTGCAGAGAAGTCCCAGTTGAAGCTCCTGCAGAGAAGTCCCAGTTGAAGCTCATGTAGAGAAGACCCAGTTGAAGCTCCTGCAGAGAAGTCCCAGTTGAAGCTCCTGTAGAGAAGACCCAGTTGAAGCTCCTGCAGAGAAGCCCCAGTTGAAGCTCCTGCAGAGAAGTCCCAGTTGAAGCTCCTGCAGAGAAGTCCCAGTTGACGCTCCTGCAGAGAAGTCCCAGTTGAAGCTCATGTAGAGAAGTCCCAGTTGAAGCTCCTGCAGAGAAGTCCCAGTTGAAGCTCCTGCAGAGAAGTCCCAGTTGAAGCTTATGTAGAGAAGTCCCAGTTGAAGCTCCTGCAGAGAAGTCCCAGTTGAAGCTCCCTTAGAGAAGTCCCAGTTGAAGCTCCTGCAGAGAAGTCCCAGTTGAAGCTCCTGCAGAGAAGTCCCAGTTGAAGCTCATGTAGAGAAGTCCCAGTTGAAGCTCCTGCAGAGAAGTCCCAGTTGAAGCTCCTGCAGAGAAGTCCCAGTTGAAGCTCATGTAGAGAAGTCCCAGTTGAAGCTCCTGCAGAGAAGTCCCAGTTGAAGCTCCCTTAGAGAAGTCCCAGTTGAAGCTCATGTAGAGAAGTCCCAGTTGAAGCTCCTGTAGAGAAGTCCCAATTGAAGCTGTAGAGAAGTCCCAGTTAACGCTCTTGTAGAGAAGTCCCAGTTGAAGCTCTTGTAGAGAAGTCCCAGTTAACGCTCGTGTAGAGAAGTCCCAGTTAACGCTCCTGTAGAGAAGTCCCAGTTAAAGCTCCCTTAGAGAAGTCCCAGTTGAAGCTCCTGTAGAGAAGTCCTAGTTGAAGCTCCTGTAGAGAAGTCCCAGTTGAAGCTCCTGTAGAGAAGTCCCAGTTGAAGCTCCTGTAGAGAAGTCCCAGTTGAAGCTCTTGTAGAAAAGTCCCAGTTAACGCTCCTGTAAAGAAGTCCCAGTTAACGCTCCTGTAGAGAAGTCTCAGTTGAAGCTCCCTTAGAGAAATCCCAGTTGAAGCTCCCGTAGAGAAGTCCCAGTTGAAGCTCCTGTAGAGAAGTCCCTGTTGAAGCTCATATAGAGAAGTCCCAGTTGAAGCTCCCTTAGATAAGTCCCAGTTGAAGCTCCTGTAGAGAAGTCCCAGTTGAAGCTCCTGTAGAGAAGTCCCAGTTGAAGCTCCTATAGATAAGTCCCAGTTGAAGCTCCGTTAAAGAAGTCTCAGTTGAAGTTCCTGTAGAGAAGTCCCAATTGAAGCTCCTGTAGAGAAGTCCCAGTTGAAGCTCCTGTAGAGAAGTCCCAGTTGAAGCTCCTGTAGAGAAGTCCCAGTTAACGCTCGTGTAGAGAAGTCCCAGTTAACACTCCTGTAGAGAAGTCCCAGTTAAAGCTCCCTTAGAGAAGTCCCAGTTGAAGCTCCTGTAGAGAAGTCCTAGTTGAAGCTCCTGTAGAGAAGTCCCAGTTGAAGCTCCTGTAGAGAAGTCCCAGTTGAAGCTCCTGCAGAGAAGTCCCAGTTGAAGCTCATGTAGAGAAGTCCCAGTTGAAGCTCCTGCAGAGAAGTCCCAGTTGAAGCTCCCTTAGAGAAGTCCCAGTTGAAGCTCATGTAGAGAAGTCCCAGTTGAAGCTCCTGTAGAGAAGTCCCAATTGAAGCTGTAGAGAAGTCCCAGTTAACGCTCTTGTAGAGAAGTCCCAGTTGAAGCTCTTGTAGAGAAGTCCCAGTTAACGCTCGTGTAGAGAAGTCCCAGTTAACGCTCCTGTAGAGAAGTCCCAGTTAAAGCTCCCTTAGAGAAGTCCCAGTTGAAGCTCCTGTAGAGAAGTCCTAGTTGAAGCTCCTGTAGAGAAGTCCCAGTTGAAGCTCCTGTAGAGAAGTCCCAGTTGAAGCTCCTGTAGAGAAGTCCCAGTTGAAGCTCTTGTAGAAAAGTCCCAGTTAACGCTCCTGTAAAGAAGTCCCAGTTAACGCTCCTGTAGAGAAGTCTCAGTTGAAGCTCCCTTAGAGAAATCCCAGTTGAAGCTCCCGTAGAGAAGTCCCAGTTGAAGCTCCTGTAGAGAAGTCCCTGTTGAAGCTCATATAGAGAAGTCCCAGTTGAAGCTCCCTTAGATAAGTCCCAGTTGAAGCTCCTGTAGAGAAGTCCCAGTTGAAGCTCCTGTAGAGAAGTCCCAGTTGAAGCTCCTATAGATAAGTCCCAGTTGAAGCTCCGTTAAAGAAGTCTCAGTTGAAGTTCCTGTAGAGAAGTCCCAATTGAAGCTCCTGTAGAGAAGTCCCAGTTGAAGCTCCTGTAGAGAAGTCCCAGTTGAAGCTCCTGTAGAGAAGTCCCAGTTAACGCTCGTGTAGAGAAGTCCCAGTTAACACTCCTGTAGAGAAGTCCCAGTTAAAGCTCCCTTAGAGAAGTCCCAGTTGAAGCTCCTGTAGAGAAGTCCTAGTTGAAGCTCCTGTAGAGAAGTCCCAGTTGAAGCTCCTGTAGAGAAGTCCCAGTTGAAGCTCCTGTAGAGAAGTCCCAGTTGAAGCTCTTGTAGAGAAGTCCCAGTTGAAGCTCCTGTAGAGAAGTCCCAGTTAACGCTCCTGTAGAAAAGTCCCAGTTGAAGGTCCCTTAGAGAAGTCCCAGTTGAAGCTCCTGTAGGGAGGGTTGTCCTTATCCTTCATATAAAAAGGATAGCATAACACTACTATGTATCTAAGCTTGGTATTAATAAGAAAAAAAAACATGTATATTCAGATTAATAACGACAATAACACAGGAAAAAAAAGGGGAGAGAGAAGTAGTGAAAATAAGAGAGTCATAGGAGAAAGCTCTGACGTTTTCTATGATGCAGGAGGTGGCGTTGGTGTTTGTTGTGATGGTCAAGTAACGCCAGCTGATCCCTCAGCTGTCTGCTGCTGCTGCATTACAGCATGAGGAACCTCTCTCTACTGGCGTTATACACACATGTAGTCGGTAAGGAGTATAGCTCACACTTACGTCTCTGATTGACAGATAGTTAGAGGAGAAAAAGCATAGTACACAACCAAAGGCAACAGCATAATGTTGTGGGAGTATTTAACACTTAGAAAACGAGCCATTCTTAAACACCTGTACGATTTGACCCTCGGAGAAGTAGTATCTTGTTCCATCTTTACAGTTGAATGACTTATCAGTTTGTTCTCCCAGATTTGTCTTAATTAAATATTTAAGGTGTAAAGAATGTTGATATACAAATTATTAATGTTTGCTAGAGTACGTTTTTTTGGGCGCCTTTGTTATGTCAGCCATAAATAGACTTGTTTTTGTTCAATTCAGTATTTACTTTACTATTCAGAATGATTGGGTTAGTTTTGAGAAATTGAAGGTTGTGACATCAGCAACTTGTGAAACCAATTCAATTTGTTAATTACGCGACCTTCGGTTACTTATTCTGCAACCTATCCTCAGGGAGGAAATCTGCTAGCGAAAATGGATTGAAAACGGCTACATAATTAATGCTATTATCTACTCTCAACGGTTACTCTAGGTTAAGGTTTGGTGAGTTTAGGTTAAGGTTAGGTTTCATTACATTTGGTTATGTTAATATGGTGTAATATTGGTGATAATGTGAAATATAAAATTCAAAACTATTTGAGTGTACCCGAGAATTCCATTTACAGAAACCCAAATTCTTCAAAGAAAATGTTTTCAACATATAAATCTCATTAATGAAAATATTTTTGTTTTATTATATATTAATATTTGTATTTTTTGCAGGTTGTAGTGTGAGCTTGGTTCCAGAGGTGAGTCAGGAGGGGCTCCTGCAGCCGTACAACACCTATGCTGATGTAACACTCTTCCATTTTCACATTCCTGATGAGGTGACCAGAGTAACATGGGAGTTTGCTGCCTTTATGGATGATCCAGGATGTCCAGTAAGAGAAGTCCATGTGTAAGTAAAATTTATCACTCCTTAGTAAATAAGAACATAAGAATTAAGGAAACTGCAGAAGGCTTATTGGCTAGTGCAAAGCAACTTTTGTTTAAATCCATCCAAGCTCAATCATATATATATATACAGTATGTCTAATTGATGCTTGAAACAATCCATTGATCCCATGTCTTTAATGCTAGCTAGTAATTTGTTCCATAAATTTATAGCCCTGTTTCCAAACTAATATATAAATATCCACATATGTCTGGATTTGATTTAACTTAAAGAGCTATCTTTGGTACTTTATTTTTCTCCTTCAGGCCTTTTCCTTTAGTTTCCCAGTGATACTTATCTTTGTATAGTTCCCTTAAATGATCTTCCAACTTTGGCTGTAACTTTGTTTCTCAAGTTCTCATTACTGCTGCTTAGATTCTTAATTCTATCCACATGATTCTTTACAATGATCTCCATTTTTGCCAACCTGTTGTGAAAACCACTCCTGCTAATGTGTTCCTCATCAAAATTAATCTTCTGTTTTGTCCTTCCTCTTGCCAGCGACCATTTTTGTTTTGGTCACCATATGCTCCCACAGTATTCCCTTCAAAAACACTATTTCTGCTTTGTTTCTGTAACTTGTTTTGGCTTCTAACTATTTGGCAGTTATTGATACACATGTATGCACTTTTTCACTCTGATATGTCTTGTTTCTTTTTTTTTTTTTTTTTTTTTGAGATATATACAAGAGTTGTTACATTCTTGTACAGCCACTAGTACGCGTAGCGTTTCGGGCAGGTCCCTGGAATACGATCCCCTGCCGCGAAGAATCGTTTTTTCATCCAAGTACACATTTTACTGTTGCGTTAAACAGAGGCTACAGTTAAGGAATTGCGCCCAGTAAATCCTCCCAAATTCTCACCCAAAATCTTAAAAAACACCTGAGTTCCCTAGCCCTCAACCCTCCTACAATATCAACAACAACAACCACCACCACCTGTAGAGAACTGACATGACCTATATCTGGTAAGATCTTTTCAAGATCTTGTGCTGTTGCCCTAAGCATTTTACCTTGTTGATAGTTATTGTAACCAGTTGGTATTCCTGCTCAGATCAACTGCACACCTCAGTGGTCCAAGTTTAATTTATATCTCAAATACTTATAAAATGAGATATCAGACACTGTTTGTATCACGTGCCTCCATGCTGTGTTTTGATTTCAATACCACATCCACTAGAACTGCTCATTGGTTTATTATGGTGCATAAAAAATTTTGATAAATATACTGTATATGTATACAGTATAGTGTAATAACAGCAAAAACATTGATTGTTCAAAGAATATAATATACTTGTCATTGTTCTGTATATGAGCACCATATTTTTGAGCATATAGATGTTCCACACACTTAACTACAGTATATAAATTCCTTAAATTACACACTATTGAATAATATTACTGCAAAAAACAGATACAAATTAACTCAGAGACATTGAAATAATTATGTAAAAATATCTTTGCAGCACCTGCCAACCAACGGAGTCGCCGTGGTGCGAGGCTGACCTTGGATAGGGGTCATGAGATTTTAAACTCACCACACCAGCTTAGTGGTTCGTTATGTGCACAAAAATGTAGATAGGTATATATAACATGTATCCTGTATATGGTGTAACAACAGCAAAAACAGTTTTATTGTTCAAAGAATATACATATTACTATATATGAGCACCATATTTTTGAGCATAGTGATGTTTCACACATTTAGCTATGTAAATTCCTTAAATTACACACTGTTGAATAGTATTACTGCAAAAACTAGATACAAATTCATTCAGAGACATTGAAATAATTATGTAACAATATCTTTGCTGCAACCCCAGCCATATGTCGGGGCTGGAGTAGACTGCACCTGGTGACTGCTCATTCAGAGTCAGAATATTGCTAGACTTCCTCACCCCATCACGGCCAAAGTATATCACAATAATTTTTTTTTTTGTTTCCTGTGATTAGGGGAATGCATTTTAACACTACAGTATAGTATTAGAAAAACAAAAATTTTGGGAATAACTTGTTTTATATGCACAGGGAACTTGTCATATTAAAGTAACACACAGTATAGTGGTTAATTGGACATTTATATGCTCCACTAAATTATTTGTACCATATACAATCTGTTTGGACTGTTAATGAATCTATAAGAGCGAGGTTCATTTGAGCAAGGAACCACTGTATTTGTTTTCCATGATGCTTCTGAGTATGAAGGCATTATGAAAGGTTGTCATTATTTTTTTTCTAAATTTACCTGAGGGCTGCCATCTTTACTTGCCTCAGTAGGAACAGGAAGCTAGCCACTTGTCAAAAGATCCTGCCAAAATCTCTTTTACCCTCATTTCCTATCTTCCTTTTTTGAACTAGTGCCTTCACATTCCATAAAAGTTGGGGGGGATGGGGAAGAGAGAAAGGTTATGATATGGGTTTCCAACTCATAGTATAGCTGAGTCAAAAGCTCTTGATAATGACGCTTAGGATTTTTCAGATTTGTTCAGCATGGGAGTTATCCAGTTATCAATGAAAACAATGCAACTCTAAAAGATTATATGTACACTAGTCGATCAGCAGTATACAAGGTATGTGGTCAATACAGACTACTTTAATTATTATGTATCCCCATCAGGGAATGATCCTTTTGTTTAATCATGCAGTATTTTTTTTTCTAGGGGGAGCCCCTTCGGCTCCCCGGAGCTTATCCAGGCTGATATATTAATGTCAGACTTTGGCATCGTTCATGTGTATGGAGTTCTATGGGCCTACTGAGGACCACGAGCCAGAACCTGGCCCCCTCAGAGAGGCAAGGAGAGCAATGGCCTATAGAAACCCCCGTGTGGTTGGAAGCATTCTATGTCTGCCATCGACTGGGTCAGGCACCCAGAAAGGTAAGCGTCCCAAAACAATCCCCTATTCTGGTGAAAATTGCTACCACAAGCCGAACAAATGGATAGAATCTCCCTAAAAGAAACGAGCAAACGATCATGACATCACAAGAATCAGTCGGCCGAGCGGACAGCACGCTGAACTTGTGATCCTGTGGTCCTGGGTTTGATCCCAGGTGCTGGCGAGAAACAATGGGCAGAGTTTCTTTCACCCTATGCCCCTGTTACCTAGCAGTAAAATAGGTACCTGGGTGTTAGTCAGCTGTCACGGGCTGATTCCTGTGGGTGGAGGCCTGGTCGAGGACCGGGCTGCGGGGACACTGAAAAAAGCCCCGAAATCATCTCGAGATAACCTCAAGATAACCTCACACGTCGCTGCGCAGCTGTCTGCGCAGCTCCCCCCTCCCCGGGAGGGGGAAGGGGGAGTCCCAGACCTACTGCGCTGGCTATCTACCATCAGTTCTGAGGCTGGATGTCAAAAAACGCGAAAAACCACTGACCCGAGGGAGAGAGGGAAGCCGGGGAGCCTCCGGGTCTCGCCCAGAAAATGGCGTTTCATTAGATTCAAAGCTGGTTTTCTGGGGGGAGCCCTTTCGGCTTCCCGGAGCTAACTACCCACAGAGGAAATAAGAGGGATGTACCCGGGAGGCAGTCACCGCAGGCAATCACTCCTCAACTCAAAGTCGAGACAACTGGCTGCAACCGCTAACCCAAGGCGACACAGGCCCGAATGGGCCCAGAACGACCACGACATATCGAGCAGCCAGGCCCCTGTGCAACCGCCAAAAGCCCCACATGGCAAACATTAAATATTATTAATGAATATGTAATCACCAACAAATTTGTTACATGCTGCTCCCATTGATCTGGTGTCACCTGCCACCTATTTATGTATTATTCTCTTATAAAATGAGTTTATTTCAAAGTAAAATTAGGTTTTTCAAGTTCAACAGTCAGCATGCTGTGTCAGAAGGCACAACTGCCTTCACTGTCAGTGTGCATGAGGCTACCCCCAGAAAAGGCCAAGCTACACAACGAGCATCTCCAAACCCTGTCCTATCTACAAAACTCTTGGATACTTCGGAGCCAGAATCAGGGGGTTGGGAAACCAGAAAGAGGGCAAACCACACCTGTAGGGAAAGGAAGCATGGGCATGGACTTAGTTCAGGTAGAGTTCACTACATCCAATTATGAATCCCTAAACTCTATATGGGCCAACTCCAGGACATCCAACTAATCACAATGCTGCAAATGCCTAACCCTAGCAAACCAAGCTCTCAAAGCAGCTGCTGCCTGAAAAGCTCCTGGAATGGAAGCCGAGGTCAATGCAGAAACCCAGAAGGAACAAGCTACTCAAGACTCAAGATCGTAGGTGTCACCAACCAAGCAGGAGCATAGTAGAGGTAGAAAGAATGACCATCGTCTGGTAGGAAAGATGATGAGCACCCTTTAATCTTGCACATGGCGAGTGCAGGCTCAACGGGCTGAACCAACCATACCAAAAGACCCGTGAGGGGATTACCAGGACCTGAAGGTAACTAGACAACCAGGACACCTGGGCACTAATGCTGCTCCCCAAAAGACAGATGTCAAGTGCAGCCAAAGCAGCCCAGCTGTGACTGACATCTGCAGCATGACGTATAAACAAACATGCGAGCCTATACCCCAGTGTGCCCCAGCATGCCCCAATGTGCCCCAGCACAACCAACTGAACACCCCCAGTCAAGGATCCAAACATAGAAGTCAAAAGACTTGTGAATAGTCCTAAGCGAGGCCCTCTACCACAGTGGCGTGGTCACTTGGGCGAAATCCCAAACACACCCTGGGAAGGAACCCAGAGTGCATGCAGCCCATACAACACGCAGATAAAAAAAAATGAACTTGAAGCAAAATATTAAATATTGAATAAAGTACACAGCAAATTGCCTTTGCAAGAAAAAGTCCAAGAATGGTCAGCACTTAGGTTGAAGCAGGGAAACTTGCCATATCTGAAAGACCTGGATCTCAAGTGTCCAGCAAAACATCAGTGAAAGAATTAGCAAGGAAGATGGAAGCGTGCAGGAGCTGGGGCACCTGGTGGTGGTACAGTATTTGGTACTACGAGTTATGCATTAATTTTAAATGTTTCTCTTTGTCAGTGTGAATCGTTTGTGGAGGAGTTTGGCATTTTTGGGAATTTGGTCCTTGTTAATTCTCCCTTGTCTGTAAATCACTGACTTTCTGGATGTTTTCCCAGTGTGGTGGCAAATTGTCATTTTCTCTCTGCACCTTTGTGAGGGGAACCAGGTTTAGGCTCTTGTACCTGGTAAATCAAACAGAACTCCCACATCTAATGTGAACCATTACATCCATACAGATGTAATATAACCATATTTGCATCATTTGAATAATATCTGGGTGATAATAACTAAAATGGTAAATAACCTCGTTGGCCCAGAGATCAGTGTACTGTATAATGGTAACCTTTATGGGTAAACATTTAATTTAATATGGCTCATGTTGGGGGAAGTTAATATATGTCTTAACACAACAAAATTCTAGTTAAACTTGGTTTCAAAACTAAACTTGGTTTGACTGAACTACTCACAGATTGAATATAAATTAAGAGGTACTGTATATACAGAAGAATAGTCTTATAATAATAATTCTCTAATTGCAGATTAGTACCAAATCAGCATACCAACCCCATGATGCAACAGTTCTTCCTGTTTATAATCCACTTCCAGGAAGCTGGTTCGCTGCTGCTTATATACCAAACTGGAACGAACAGATGCAACAAGAGGTTTGTTTTTAATTATTTTATGTCATGGTATAATTTCATCATGGATTTTGTTTGTTTATAATGCTGTAATCTTTAGATATCAAAAGAAATTATGAATAATTTTTGTAATAAACATGTATTCTGCTTGTGAGTAACATTTCCACATTGTGACAACCAGGGGGGTGGTTTCACGCTAATTATCCGTAAACTGCACAACACACTCATGAATGTTTTAAAAGTACCATGTAAGATGTAAGTCCTAAGGGGGTAAATGGGGCAAGTAGGTGGTGCCCAGGGGCAATAGTAAGCAGCCACCATCTTGAAAAAAGTAATGATCAATGTAATGCCAATTTCTTGGTGAGCCCCAATGGCTTCCTGAAGCTATCTCACTGAGAAGATTGCATCAGCTGTGAAATTCTTAGGCCTGCCAGAGACTAAAGCCAAAACCTGCACCCCCACCCCACGAAAAAAAAAAGAGAGATGATGACGCAAGGAGATGATGACAGTCCGTCACATCATTGGGAAGACATCCAGAAAATCAGACAGCCAAAATAGGAAACTGCTGGGTTCAAAAGACTGAAGCCTTGCAACTTGCCTAATGAACTTCCTTAACTATATAAATAAACTATTGAATCTCTCGAAACTAGCGTGTGCTAGTTCGTCCCAACTCCACCACTCGTATGGGGGTGAAGGGGTCAGGGCCATCTTAACAGCATTATGGGCCCCTGGGCAAACCAGTATGCTGGAGCTCTTACAACAACCACTCACAAGAATAAAAATTAAATGGTTGACAATATTAATCATACTGCTTTATACACAGAAATCACAATAGCGTGATGCTTTAAATGAGCAAATCCACAAGGGCCGTGATGAGGGTTCGAACCTATGTCCGAGAGGATCCCAGAAGCACCTTAATCGACTGAGCTATGACATGGTCAAAAGAATTGCAACCGGGAAATCAACTTGACCTATCATGGATCATGCAGTCTCTCCAAGACACAAACCAGGATTTTACACAATTCCTCCATGCACCCGAGCTCTGCCAATAAGCTATTCTACCTCTTCGCCCTTACATCATTACACACAGAAATGACAATAGCGTGAAACTATTGAAACTACTACGCTATTGAAACTACCATTGCTTCATCAGAAGCAATGGTTTTCAATTCTCTGAAGAAATAAAGCAGATTTCCAGTCTGTGAACAAGCCTCTGCACATTTTGTCAGTTCAAGGATTAGTGAGTCCAGGAAAGGGAGGAAAGATTCCACCTTGATTCTTTCCGGTTTTAATGAGAAGTATCTCTTCTGCTAATCCATCATATCTACTAAGACATGCCCTGCCTGCCATCCTGTGGGTGATGGCATGCAGGTAATTCTTTGTGCAGTGGGTTGGTGGATGGCCTGGCAGGCAATCAATTGTGTGATGGGCAGGCTTGCAGGCTGAGTTTGTACTTAAATTACAAATAAATTAGAATGCAGTGAGCCAATTTAAATTAAAATTGTATTATTTCTTATGAATTAAATATGATTATGTGCATAAACCTAAGGTTAAAAGCAGTATGCTGTGTAATTTTTGGCTTTTTGACCTTAGACTTCAGAAGCATGATGCATACAAGATATTTGAAACTTGAATCTAGGATAAATTTTTGTTTTTTCAGGGCATTATACATAAATGTCGTTACAGCTTAGGATCCATTGCAATGTGGAGTCAGAAAGACCACGTACAAACCCTTAACATTGGCATAACGCAGTCAGTTAGAACAAGTGAAAACCTTTCCTACTACAGGTTAGTAAACTATAAATCTGTTTACTAAATTATATTTTACATTTTTCTGTGAGTGTCCTTTGTAGCTCTTGAGTTACACACAGTATACTTGTTATATCCTCAGTACTGAACCAGGCTCAGTGGATTCACAATTGACTACCAGGGACCAGTATAGTACCAGAATCTGGCAAACTCAATAGAAGGAAGGGAAGTTTTGGGGTCCGAGATAACCAGAGTAACCAGAAGAAAGACCACCACAAAGGAATCACATTTGTAATGCGGATTCTGTTTATAAACAATTATTAACCAGGCCTAAACACTAGCTCATAGCACATGCTCGCTACCAGATGGTGGCCACAGTAGCATGAGGCCCTAGGCTGCCAACACTGTCATACATGCTCCTCGTGCTTACCTATCAGTGACTTAGCAAGGGGGAGTGAAATCTAGCTCTTTATGGCCCACCTTCTTGCTGGCAATCAATTTAAACCTAGTTTACTAATTATCTCTCCAACATAAACGTTTTCATTATATATTTTCTTCAAGATGTGAATGGAACTGGCTTCATCAACATCTTCCTTCAATGCATTTCACTTGCTAACCACCCATATGCTTCTCCCTGGTTCTGGCTCTTTACCATCTGAGAGTTTTGCAGTTAGGTCAGTGCTTAGCTCGGGGTGTAGTGTGGCTTCTCCAGGGGTGGACCCATTTATTTCCCACTGGGAAATCAGAACCTTTACATTCACAACCTTTCACCAGCTTCAGTCCTCTTTCTTAGGATAATATCTTTCTGTCCCAAGTATTGGATGAGGAATTTGGCTCTGCCCTGGGGACAACATGGCTGGCTTTTGGGGCTGATGGGTAGTGCAGGGAGAGTCCATGGCTGCCCTTCAATGCTTCCTGGATGTTGGTTCTTCTGCAGAGGATATTTTGCTTCAGGGGGATCGTTTTTCTTACAACCTCCCCCCACTCCCTACCTGATACACAAGTTTGACTACTCAGTGACTAACCCCAGAGTTTGTTTCTAGGCATCAGACGTACTATTTCAGGAGGTTTTCATCATCTGGTGTTTCAATGTCTGTATCTCAGTTGGACTTGTTTCAGTACCAGCTGCAGAATTTGAATTTTACTTCTCAAATTTGTGTCCGTTTTGTTATACCAGGCAAGCGCAGGTCGTTATCGCCCAGCTGCATCTGTTAGGGGTTTGTGTACTCACCTAGTTGTTCACATCTAGTTGTGCTTGTGGGGGTTGAGCTCTGGCTCTTTGGTCCTGCCTCTCGACTGTCAATCAACTGGTGTACAGATTCCTGAGCCTACTGGGTGTGTTGGCCTACCTCGACGACTGGCTGGTGTGGGCCCCCGGTCAGTCTGTGTATCAGCTGGCCAGGGATCTGGTTCTTTCCCAGTTCACTGGTTCGGGTCCCTGGTTAACCTGGAGGCTGTTCAGTGGTTCCATTCTAGGTTTGGACTTGGCAGGGCCTCGTTTGGGTCTCTTGGTGGCTCCCTGACACCTTCCGTACCCCAGAGAGTGGAAGGGGGTTACCATCATAAAACTGAGGCTGGAGCAGCCAGCTGACCCAGTCTGCCTCCCCTCCCTAAACGAGGGGTAGAGTTGGGGTAAATTAATTTGTTAGTTTCATGAATTTTCTAACATTTGTTTACATTGTTGGGAAGCTCTTTTGGCAATTTTGAGGTCTCGTATCTCTTATAACCAGCAGTGGTCTGTTTTGTTTCACTGATTTTGTTGGTTCTTTCCTGATGGTGGTGGTGGTATGATTAAAATTTACTGATAAATTTGATCATAATGCCAATGATTTCTGTGCCTCTTTAGATGGGACCAGGTTCTGGCTCATAATCTTCAGTAAAAGAACTCCAACTGATGGCACATAGTAGTTTAGTATTACATCAACACTGTAGCTACAGGTAACCACTGGGCCTCAGCGAGAAATTGGCATTTCATTACATTTAACATTGGTTTTTAATACTTTTAACACTTAGAAAGTAATTACATATTTAACACAGATTTTATAATTATAATTGGGTGATGCAATACTTTCTTACGGTTGAATTGTTACTAGAATAGTAACCTTGAAAGAGTGGCTATCATCAAAATTCATACCTCACCTGTGTCAAAAATCAGTAAAAAATTATATTTGCATGCAAAAAGGAAGGAAAAGGCCAAAAACACACATAGCAATGTCTCTTCTGGCTTTGTACACTGTAGGACGAAGTCAGGTGGAGGAAGTCATTTGGTACATTGACATGAGATACAGTTTACTTATCCTTGATGGAGGGGTGAGTACACTCATGTTTAAGGTGCATGATTTTCATGTTCATTACTTCACCTTTGTTTGCAAATTTTGATGAATATCTCGCTTTATGTACAGAGAATTTATAAAAAGTCATTGAGTACTGTATATACACCTGTAATATGATATGCTCACCTCTATTTCATGTAAACCAGTACCTGGTGCAGCTACAAGGAACTTTCTTTCAACCCATTCCTCTGCTGCTGTTTTGTCTGGTAATGTCCAGAGATAGATTCAAACATTGGTGTGAACACTGAATTATGATTTGATGATAGCCACAAGCCATTACAATAACCTCATCATATAGTAAGCAATTATAAAAGGATTGTAGAATATTTCATGGGTGTAGGTTAACTCCAATACACCTATATAGCTGTATTATAACCAGATTTATAATACATCTATATAGCTGTATTATAACAAAATTTATCTAATTTGTATTAAAACCAGGCAATAATAAGTAAATTTGCAAGTGAGAAATAACTGCATTGGCTTAGAGGATCAACATATGACAATAACTTAGCAATTAAGGGTATAATTTGTAAACAGAAGATTTTTTCAGTTTCCTGTTTATTTAAATAATGTATATAATATTTTACATAATAGTTTAATTTGTTTGTTTTGCAGGTTCTATGTCCCCTCCCATACATGGTATTTAGAAGTCAATGTCTCAAATTGCCACATGCTTGAACAAATTATAAACCGTGATACAGGAGAACGTCTTTTTCGTTGGTGCTTGCGATCCCTTGCCCTTAGTGCCAGATCTCTTCCAGCATATAACCCAGATGGTGGAGTATCCAATATCACCCAAGGAGGAAGTCATATTTTTAAAGAAGCGAGACCCTATTCTGATGGTTATTACTATCTCTTGGTTGTAACTGAAGGGGAGACTGGTATAGATATTACAATTCGCACCAAAGGTCAGTAGATACTTTTGTTTTTATTTACACATTAGTAGAGTGCAGAAGCTTTAGCTAATACTTTATATATAAACATATAACTCGAGCAATATGTATTGAAACTAAGGAAACGATTAACTTGCATACTTAACCCATTTTAGTGTTGACTTGATTACAGTCATTAAGTGTTGCTAGATGTAGCATATCTAATTATTTTCTGGGAGGGCCATCTTAGTAGCTACTCGATGCTACAACACTCTTGTTGTCTCCTCTAGTCTGCCTGCTGGATTCAATAGTCCTTTACCATCAAGGTATGACATGTGTCATCACTGGACAATGGTGATGATTGTACAGCCGTCATGGTTGGCAGCCTATCAGGCATAGGTTGCAATGCAGATTCATGCTTCCTGGTTTTTATCCTTGAAAGATTTTTTTCTTTTTTGACATGGGCACTGCAGCTCGCATTATCCCATTAGGAGGAAATTTAGTAGTTGGTCATGGATACTTGTGCCAGCATTGCACCTTTGTTTTCAAGAGGCCAGTTCGTCTGGCATAGTCCGGTCAGCTTCTTGACCTCTTCTGCTGGTTCAGGCCCAGATGCACCTTTTGGCTGGGGATCTGCAGGAGCCAGCTGAAGAAGGATTTGCAACGGCATCTTTGGGGTATCCAACGTCTTGAGCTGAGCCTTCTAATAATTCAGTTTGTCAGGGACAGGAAGCCCGATTATATATATTTTAGGCTTGTATTGAGGTCTCCCCAAGGTTGAACCACTGACTCTGCCCTTAGGGTTAGGCGAACAGGTACATTAGATGAAAGGAAATGCATCAAGCCATTTCTGTCCCACCTTGGAATCAAACTGGGATCCCTAACTGTGAGTCGTAAAAGAAGGCAACTGTACTTCTGTCTCCTCCACTCCCTCCTATTTCTTTGGAATATTCCAGGGGTTGGGTGCTACTTTTGGTAGCTCATGCTCTTATTTGGTTGACAGGCACCTTGTGGGGGCATTCTTCTCCTCTGAGGCAAGAGGTGCTCGGGGATTTGTGGTTGCTGGAAGGTAGGATTTGGTTGCCCTTTGACACTCGACAGTGTTTGGTACTTGGCCCTTAGAGTTTGATGATCTGCAAGCAGTCATCATTTTATCTTTCATCCCAGTTTAACCTAGATTCCACCTCCACTTCTTTAGCTAACACTTTTGGGAGGGTTGAGGGCTGGGTGCTCTAGTATTTTAAAAAATTTGGGAGGGATAAACAAGCAGCATCACAGTAAAAAAGGGCATAATAGTGGACGAATATCTGACAGAACCCCCCCCCCCCTCCCCAAAAAAAAAGTTGCTCGTGCTGCCAACTTTTGGTGAGGAACTGTAACTAGGTTGTGATATCCTTGTGGTAACAAGTTACTTCCCTTACTTACCAAAATCCTTATGGAAACCTTGTTTGCAGGGTTTCAAATGTTTTGATGCATTTGCTTGTTTAGGACTGTCCTTTGTTTTTTGATGTTTTTTCCCCTCTATTCACATCCCTTCCCTCCACATCCATTCCTTAGACTCTCTGAGGGGGACTGGGGGCCAGACGCTGATTCTGGTCCTCGGTAGTTGTTCGTGGGTCATTAGTGGACTGGTATGTTTCCCAAGGCTTGGGTGTGTCCAAGTTGTAGCATCAGGAGCTTCTGAGGGCCTGTCAGAAAGAGTTTTCATATTACAATCAGTGCTGTATTTATTTTGCATATTTTACCATAGGTTATTGAAGATTTGAAGCTCATTGCACACACAAATCACAATGGCATGATGCATCAAATGAACAAATCCACAAGGGCCGTGACGAGGATTCGAACCTACGTCCGGGAGCATCCCAGATGCTGCCTTAATCAACTGAGCTACGACATGGTCAAAAGAGTTGAAACCGAAGTTCTACTGAACTTACTGGATCCTGCAGCCTCTCCGAGGCACAAACCAGGGTTTTACACAACTCCTCCATGCACTCGAGCTATGTCAATAGCCATTGTGATTTCTGTGTGTAACAAAGTAAGGGCTAAGAGGGAGAACGGCCTATTGACATAGCTCGAGTGCATGGGGGAGTTCTGTAAAACCCTGGTTTGTGCCTCGGAGAGGCTGCAGGATCCAGTAAGTTCAGTAGAACTTCGGTTTCAACTCTTTTGACCATGTCGTAGCTCAGTCGATTAAGGCAGCATCTGGGATGCTCCTGGACGTAGGTTCAAATCCTCGTCACGGCCCCTGTGGCTTTGTTCATTTGAAGCTCATATTTACAATCAATAAACTATGCTTGAAATGAAAAGTATCATCATTTATTATTGTATTTCAGAATGCGGTAGTGCCTTCAAGAAGTTAAGGCCACACATTCGAGATGTAAAAACATCTGAATATACCGAGGTATCATCTAAACAAGAGATGGAGTTTGTTGGAACAGCTACACCTATAAATATCACTGTGTCAGTCTCAGCTAGTGAAGATTATAGTAACACACAACAAGAACCATCAAAGGTTTTAGACTGGGAAGAAGTGTGGCCTAATATCACTAATGAATCTCCACTTATCTTGTCTCACATTACTGATGAGCCTTTGCCACTGGATGTTGACCTTACTGCAGAGAGTCATCGGTGTTATCCTTTGTTGCCACTTGCTCGGATCAAGCATGCCAGTGATTTTACCGATACATTTTTGATACAGGTATACTTAACTATTTGCTGAAGTTTAATATAGTTACTAATAGTTTAATCTTTATCAAGTGTACGCTGTATATTTTAGAGAAATCCTAGAAAGGTCAAGAATTATAAAAGATCATTGTTTAGGGATGAAAATCAAGAATAGCAACAAATGTCTCAATCTTTAGGCTTTGAAAAAAGAATACAAAATCTGGGTGAGTCCTCTCAGTGATTTTTGAGTTCTGAACTTTGGGAACTTCTAAACTTTGGTTACCATATCAGGCTAAAAAATTCATAAGTGCCTAACAAAAGCCAGTACAAAAATCTGGTCCCTATAATTAAGGTAACAGAAGTTAGGGGGTTACTAGATCACCACAGTAATCTGAAGGAAAACCTACCAGAAAGGTAGGAAGCAACAAAACGAGCAAATGCATGAATAACATTGGCAACCCTTGCATGAACCATACTCTTGCTCACTGGCAGCACATAGCTACTTTCCTGTCAGTGCTTACGTATCAGTGAGAGAATGAAATCTAGATCTTTATGCCCAAACTTCTCGACATTTATACCTGGTATACCTGCTGTTTACCTATCGATGGTTCTGAGGATCAACGTCCCCTTGGCCTGGTTCCCTGACCAGGCCTCCTAGTTAGTGGTTTGGTCAACTTAGATGTTTGACGTGGCTGCTTGCAAGCTGATGTATGGGTCACATCCTACACTAATTTTTTTTCTCGCTAAAAACACTTTCATCACACGTCTTCTAGAAAATCCTGTACATGTTTTCTAGAGGAGCCCCATGGTGGCTCCCAATAGCTGAGTGTGTTCCATACTAAAGTTACTCCAGTCATGGGAGTTCTATTAGGTCTACTGGGTACCAGAGCCAGAACCTGACCCCTCACAGAGGCACAGAGAGCAAGTGAAATTCCATCATTTCACTGGTAAAGCCTCCAGAAAGTTAGCAAAGCTTTACAGTCACTGCTGAGTTCACAAGACTCAAAAGGCTTAAAAGGATCAAACAACTACCTAAACAATTCAACGTAAACAAAATAATTTGCATAAAACTAGTTAGAACCTGTTACTACCAAATACCGCCATCAGGTGGCCCGACTTGGTTTAATGCCAGCTCGCACTTCAGTTCTGTTGCTGATGCCTTGCCTAGAGCAATACAGTAGTGCTTCAGTCACCATCTTTCACAGTGGGTCTTGGTGCTTTTATGCTCAGTGCTGGTCATCCTAGGACTTGTTCTGTAATTACCTAAGTGCAATTACCAGATTGTAGTTACAGGATGAGAGCTATGTTTTGTCATATGATGATATGAAACTACTGTACTGACAATTTTGCCATCCACCACCTCATTTAACTGTCTGCAAAAGAAAACTTTTTAATATTTTTTCAGTACCTTTGTTCCCTAAGCTTGAATCTCTAATCTTTTCTGGGAGAGCCCCTTGTGACTCCCTGAAGCTACTGTGCTGAGAAGGTATCATCTACTAAGTCACATCAGCTATGACATTCTGTAGGCATACTGGGGACCAGCACCAGAACCTAGCCCACTTCTAGAAGTGCAGGGAATGGTGATATTTATTTTCGCCACCTCACTGAGGAAGACAACCAAAAAGTCAGCGAGTCAAACAAACCATTTCTGGCTTCAAAAGAGATCGATACCTCAAAACCCACTTAAAAAACTATGTACTGTAATTATGTGAAACGAATTACCGAATTCTCTTGGAACCAGCGCAAACTCATTTGCCCCACCTCCCCCACTTATATGGCGGGGGGGTGGGGGGAGGTACCTCATTGTCAGCTGTTCAGTTTGTGGTGTTTGCCTTTGGTGGCATTTCCTGTACACTGTGGTTAGTTTGAGCTTAGTTTTGAGTGATTGGAGCTGCATGTGTGCAGAGTTACCTTCCCTGTGTGCTCCCTAGTTCTGTCCTTGCATTTCCTGGGTTATCTTCCCAGGAGTGTTTTGGAGTTGCTTCCTTGTAGGTCATCTTTGCTTGTGGTGATCCTTGTTCAGGGTGGGTCAGGTGGCTTGGGACTTTCCTGTCTTCACTTAGATCAGGTGCGACTTTGACTGGCGGCCACACTGGTGGTTTGCGCACTTCTCTCAGCACACCGAAGTCGGCCTTCACAGCCATGTGAATCAGGTTGTCAGTTTACTTTTAGGTCCGGTGTAGTGATCCCAGTGCCTGGATGTCCTGCTTGGTTTACCCTTCAGACCATGGAATTGCCTTGTGGGTTTGGTGGTCCTATGGGCCTTCTAACATTAAATCTGCTCTCACTTTGTGCGAGTTTGAGTATTGTTCATCATCTGTTCCACTGTGTGACAATCACATTTTCTGCCTCTGCTGCTGCCTGTTGGGTCAGTGGCACCTTTGACACAGAGTCCTGTGGGATTTGTTGCTTGCTTGCCTGCTGCTACCACTGCTGCAACCACTGCTGCTACTGCCACCTTCACCATCACTGCTACTGCTGCTCCTGCTGTCGCCTCTGCCACTGCTGCTGCCGTCATGGCCACCACAAGCATCGCTACTGCGGCTGCTCCCACCGTCGCTGCTGCCTTAGCCACTGCTGCTGCAGGTGCCGCTGTTGCTTTTGCTGCTGCTGATACCACTGCAGCCATTGCCACCGCTGTTGGCCTCTCCCTCCCTCCCTTCCGATGATGCTCATCCCCCCCCCCTCTCTCTCTCTCTGTAAAATTACTTAAGTGTAATTTTTGCCTTCAAAAGCAAAAATTGAAGGCAACTAAGGTTGCTTTCAACATCGTTCTGACAGTTCCTGCGACAGAGCTGAAACCAATCGTATTGGCGTTTGCCATTCCATTGGAGACTTTCGGCACCACAGAGAGGGGGGGACCTGCTGCATGGGTGACAGCTTCTTCCCTGTATCAACCTACCCTGGCTTTGCGCCTTGGAGAGACCAACAACCAGAGCGCAGCGCCATAGTCTTCCGTGACTGATGGATGCCTACTAATTACAGGATGAGAGCTACAGTTGTGATATCCTACCTTCCCAGCACCCTTTGCCATATGATGATTTGAAACTACTGTGTGTGTGTGTGTGTGTATGTGTGTTGGGGGGGATGGGGATCTGACACATGACAAAAAATGAAGTAGACCCAGTGGTTAGCATGAATAATCATGCTATTCCACATTGATCAGCTTACTGCTGAAATTTAACCATGTGCTTAGAAACTTAGTATAAAAAAGGTTGTGTGTTCGTGTACATGGAAGCATTGGCTTCTCCTAATGAATCAATTTAGTATGAGCAGTTAAAGAGTAAAAATAAATTAACAGTGAAAGAATTTTTTTAACGTAGCTCATATGCAAGTTTGTTAACCTAAAATAGTATTAATGTATTAATTTTTGTGATATAGTTCGGTTAATTTTTTATTGCAAAGTTAAATATAGAATAATCTATTTGTAGCTGGCTAGTCGTTGGAAATACTGTACTAAATACACACATGATTTACAGGGGCCAGAATGGTATAGTACATGGTTGTCAGTTCAGAAAGACTTGCCTGTCTTCACATATCTAAAGCTTCTGCCCTTCACAGACATTGGTGGAACTTTGAGTATCAATTTACTCATGGATGAGCTGCTGATGGTGAGTAAAAGCAATTAGTTGTTATAATATGCTTGTGCATATATTTTTTATCTCGTATCTTGTCAATTTCTTACAGGTGCCAATTGCATCATCTAAAGGGTCATTCTGGGGAAGCCTACCAGTAGCTTCTAGATGCCATAACCTGGCCCCCCCTCACACAGAGGTAGGAGCAGGGAGCAAGTGATGATCTGCCACCCCACTAGGATAAATATCCAGGTCAGCGAATGTATACAGACAACTGTAAGGTTTACAGAAAACAAAACTGCCAAATAACTCCACAAGAGTTTCAAAACAAAACAGTAGATTCACTCAAAACTAGTTTGAAGCTGTTAGTACTGTACCAGTAGCCCCTACCAGGTGGCTGGCCCCAGCCCCACAGCCAGCTTCCTTGATCAGCTCTGATCATCCACCACTTTCTCACTTAACTTGTTTCAACTGTCTACCACTCCTTTTGTAAAAGTGAACTTTCTAATGTTATAAGGAAGCTTTATTTCCTTAGCTTGAATTTGTGACTTGTTCTTGAAGCCCCAGGTTTCAAAAATTCTTCTTGTCAGTTTTGTCGATTCCTGTTATTATCTTGTACGTATTGATCATGTCACATCTTTTTCTTCTGTCTTGTAGCTTTGATATATATAACACCTCCAGCCTCTACTTGTAAATTCTTGTTTTTTAGTTCCAGAAGCCACTTAGTTGTATGTCTTTGCCCCATTTCCAGTTTGGAGAAGGGCTTCTTGATAAATGGGCACCATACAACCACTACATATTCCAATTTTTGTCTCTCAAATGTTGTGAATAATTTCTTAAATATTTAGGCATCCATGTATTTAAAAGCAATTCTGAAGTTGGAAAGTGTGACTGCCTACCTGTTGATGATTCTGAGGATCAATGTTCCCACAGCCTAGCCTCTGACTGGGCCTCCTCCTGTCGTATGATTATTATACAGGTATTCGATATGGTCCCTTTCCTTGTTGTTAGACACCCCGGCCAGGCACCCAGAAAGGTAGGTGCCCCAAAACAAACCCCTAATCAGGTTAAAACTACTACAGAAAACTAACAAGGAAACAGGACTCCCTAATTGAAAAACAAGCATGACGTCACACTTGCCGCGCTGCTTGTCTGTGCAGCTCACCCCCTCCCCGGGAGAGGAAATGGGGAGCAACAGACCCATCGCTCCGGCTATCCTCCTGTCAGTTCTTGGCTGATGTGATTGTGGCTCGGTTGTGTGGCTTCAGCTCCAGATTCTGTCTTGTGTTGTGCTGTGCCTTGTGTCCAGTACTGTCCCTACAGTGGCGTGCGAGCTGGGAGTAATATTCTCAGATACTTGGGCTGCATGTGCTTGGAGTTTCTTTCCCTAAGTGCCCTGTAAGTACCACCCTTGAGGCTTGGTGTTATCTTCCACAAGTCACCTTGGGGTCTACTTCTGTTAATCTTTTGCTGCTCTGTGATTGACCACCCCGAAGTGTGTTGGGGGGGGGGGTTCCTCCTCCTTGTTTACCTTGGGGTAAGTGGTAGTTTTTGCACTGGTAGGGGTATGGGGTACTGCATAGCTAGTTTTCACCTATTACAGCGGCCAGCTCTGTTCCTCCTGGGTATGTTGTCTTCTTGCTGGTTTTTTCTTTTCATTTTTGTTTGTGCCTGGTGGGGAGGGGGGTCTGCTTTTGTTTCCCTACCCCCTTTCCAGTTATCTTAGGGTCTTGGCCTCCTGTGTTCGGTGGTACCCCTGCTTGGCTCCCGTGATGGACACATCCCAGGGGTTCAGTTTTGGAAGTTTGTTTGGTAGACTTGGGTGCCGGTTAGCAGTACCCTGCCTGGGCTTACCCTTAGCGATAACAGTCTAAGGGCCCTAGGAAACCCCGTGGGGGTTGCAAGGGGTCCAATGGATGCGACCCCTAGGTCCCCTCTCGCCTTGTGCAAGTTTGAGGGTTGCTCTGTTCCCTTGTCTCAGGGCAACGCTCATTGTTTTTGCCTCCGTCATGCTGCCTGTTGGGTCGGTGACACCTTCGACCCGGAGTCCTGCGAGCTTGTTTGTGACTCACTTCACCCAATCCCCTTTTGACACTATCCAGGTACAGGCAGCTCAAGCGTTGCAGGCTTGGTTTAGATTGCTGTAACGTGCTAGGTTGATTGCTCCCCCAGATGCCCTGAGGCTGCCTCACTTTGCTTGTAGGGACCCAGACTTGGGGGTTTGGGCACTTCGGCCTTGGTTCAGTCCGCACCCCACTCATTCTTCCCCTGCTGTGGTTCATTCTGGTCCCCCTTCCCCCCCCCTTGCTTCTGGCACCGGAGCGTCTGTGGGCTTCGGGGTCGGGGCGGGGTTTAAAGTATTCTGAGACTGGCAGTTTCGGGGGTTGCCCCTTCCATGGTGGCGACAGAGGCATTCGAGTCGGTTCCTCCAGCTGTTGCGTATGGGTCTGACCAGTGGGCCCCCTTCCTTGGTGTTTTGCGGCTGCCCCGGCTTTTTCTTTTTTTAGGCCGGGGCTTTGGAGGACGATTCGGCCCCAAGTCTTGGTAATAAGGTTCCCAGGGTTGAGGGGGGCTGACTTGGGGGGGCTTGGGCCCCATTGGACCTTGCCTGGGTTTTCCTCCCCCTCCTGAGTGGGGCTTACTGTTACATGGAGTAGGGGTTTTCCTCCCCCCTTACCCTTCCCCTCTACGTACGAGTTGGTTTTGGTGTTGGCCCCTCCCCGGGTTCGGTTCCGTGTCCCTTCGGGTCCGTTGGTTCCATCCTTCCTCTGGGTAATTTTAACAACATTCTTATCTAGGACATGTATTCTTCTACATCATGTCACATTCATGTAAGAATCATATCGGGATCCTGCATGACTCTTGGTCACGTATGCCAATGGGCCCATATGTGCCTCCGTGATTTTGTGCTTGATTATCAAGGGTCTCGAAGGTTCGAGAAGAACTTCGATAATTCACATATTATTGGAACGTCTGTCGATTTCCGGGGCGGATTACCTCCAGTCTTTTCTGGGACTCTTTGGTCCTCTTCCGTACTACTTATTCTCTTTCCATATTATATCTAGTTATTTTCTAATCACATCTTCTCTCCATCATCTCTCTCGTCAATGATAATAATCGTTAAATAAACATTGTCGGCTACCCTCCTCGTGAGAAGGGTTGAGCCGGCTCGGGCCTCATGCTTCCTGAGCATGGCCCAAGGGAGATCGTTTGTTTATGGATAGTGTAAACAAGTTGGCATTCTGCAACCTTTATCACAGGTAATACGCCACATTAACTCACCTTATCTCTCCAGTCATAGCCCACTAAATACTGGGGGAGTTCTGGATTTTATATATATATAGGGAAAATTCCTAGTTCTTTTATCTGAATACGGGTGTAGGGTGGCTCGGAGTGACGCTGCCTCCACCTCTACACTAGAACTCATATTCTACTGCATACACAACTCGGGACATAATCCACTAGCGATGCTCCCAGAATATTACTCGGCTGTGCTGTGTCATACCACTATTGTGCCTACGCTCTACAGGCGAGATTATATGGTCTGGCGGCACCGTCAGCTTGGTGCTGGTTCTCGATTTTTGGACGAGTGTTGGGTACTGTTTGTGGTATGTTGATTGGCTACATTGCGTGCATCTTAATGTAACCTTAATATGTCCATATATACTGAGTATATATATATTGTTGTTCGTTACACTGTGGGGGCATAGGTTCGAATTTCAGTAACTTTTTATTTACTTTTTCAGCGACTGCATCTTTTCTTGACTCTGAACACTCTATATATGCCGTCATTCAGTGCCCTGCTGCATCTTTGTGCTGTATATACATTGGAATATCTCTGTATATATGGTTGCTCTTGTACAAACATTAGCAATTGTTACCTAAGACATTTTATTTTAATTCATCATATTGATAATACTCTCTTGTCCCTAGCTGCTGGTATGTGGTCCATTTTAAGGTCTTTCCATTGCATATTTGCGTATTTCCTACCTCTATGCTACACATTCTTGTGTATATTAGTACAGTACAGTACGTGCATATTGGCTATACTAATGATAGTGCTAGACTGGACTATGTACAAGTTCGGTTCCCTGTTTTGAACTGACCAGCATTCAGTTATAACGCTGAGTTCTTTCCTCTTCTTGTACCACAATACCGGCTGCTGTATTGCAATGTCTGCCTCTTGAAAATGTCCACGGTTGTTCCGGCAATATTTCTTATGTTTGCTGGGAGGACGTTGAACAACCGCGGACCTCTGATGTTTATACAGTGTTCTCTGATTGTGAGAACTGCTGGTGGATGTCGATTTCCATTCACCCACTCCTGCCGCATACAGTTCATTTTCATTGGGACGGGGGGAGCTAGGAATTACGGCCCTGGCTACGGGCTTTTCTTTGTGTTGGTTTTCCATACAGAACTTTTTATTTTAATGCCGTACAAGTCCTACGTAGTTCTCCTCATACATTCATCGGCGGCGCGTGCGTCATTCTGCCCTGCTGGGGCTGGTTGTGCCGTTCCTGCGGGATGCGGTGTCACTGTTTTCACTTCGCATCTCACATGTCGGCTCATGATGCTCGCTTCCTTCTTGGCCTGGGCCCTGGCTCTTCGATTTTTGTCACCATTTTGTCCTTGCTGTTTGCGGGGTCTGTGGTTGGGCTGTTGCTGCAAACAGCGGCTTCTCATTGTCACCTGTTTTCAGCCTTGTTGGTCCTTCAGGGATCCTGGGGGTGGGGGATCTGCTCGCCCCAGCTCACTGGGTTTGGGTTCCTGGTGCCCTGGAGGACATTCCATCTGGTTTCCTGACAGCCTTGGTTTCAGGCACTGCTTGCTTGGTGTCCATACCTAAGGGTTTTCCCACGGCTCCGCCTCTTTCAGATGCTCGGTCCAGTCCGTCACGGGGCTGGTTTGGTCTTCTCCTCGAGTCCTCATGTTTGTTGCTTTTGAATTGAGTCTATCACCACGTGTTTGGTGATCAGGTGGCTTCGTTAATCGTGTCCCACCTGCGTGCTTCGTTGAGATGGCAATATGGGGTTTCCTGGCGGTCCTTCCTTTTCTTTTTTGTCTCTTCGTAGGTATACTTCGCTTTTTGTTGAGATGGTCTTGTCCTTTTCTCTTGTGGTTGTTTCAGGACCGTCTTCGTTTGCCACATTCAGTTTTGATGTTCTTTCTGCACCGTTTCACAAGCTGTCTAGAGTGTTGTTCCCCTCCAGCCTGCTCCTGCGCTGTCTGAGCCGTCCTGGTCTTTGGACACTATGCTCTTATCTCTTCCCCTTAGTTGGTTGTGGCCCCTTTGGTTCCGGATTGTTTCTCAAAGATTTCTGCTCCTTTAGGTTCTTGTGTTAGGTTTGTTGCAGCCTTTCTTCTTTTTCGGGCGAGTTGGGTCGGCTGTTTTTCCGGAGGGGTCCCTGGAGTTGTTGCTTGGTTGGTTTTCGCTGGGGGTGCACCTTCTTGTGTCCGGTTGTGGCTCTCAGCCATTGCCTGCGTGCCGTGGTCTCTGTGGCCCTGGACATGCTTTGAGTTGCCCGGAGTTCCCTTTGTTCCTTTTCTGGGGTTTGGGTCTCCCGGGTCGTCCGCAGGGTCCTTTCGGTGTTGCCTGTTGTCTTTCTTTCGGGTTTTAGGTGCGGGGTTTCTGCCTCCTGGGTTTGTCCCTCTTTTGTCCTTGGCTTCGGGTAGGTAGCTCCGAGAAGCCGAAGGGGCTTTCCCTAGAAAACCAGCGTTGAATGTGATGAAATGCCATTTTCTGGGTGAAACCCAGAGGATTCCCGGCAACCCTCCCTCCTCCCGATCGTTGAGGTTTTTCGTGTGTTTTGACATCCAGCCTCGAACTGACAGGTGGATAGCCTGCACAATGGGTCTGGGGCTTCCCCTTCCCAATCCCAGGGAAGGGAAAGCTGTGCAGACAAGCGGTGCAGCAAGTGTGACATCATGCTCGTTTGCTCTTTTTTCAATTGGGAGTTCTGCTTACTTGTTAGTTTTCTGTAGTAGTTTTAACCAGATTAGGGGTTTGTTTTGAGGCGCCTACTTTTCTGGGTGCCCGGCCCAGTCGATGGCAGACAGAGAATGCTTCACACACATGTACATTTTTATAGACCATTGCTCCTCGTGCCTCTCTGAAAGGGCCAGGTTCTGGCTCGTGGTCCCTGGTAGGCCTAGAACTCCATTCACACTGACTGATGCCAAAGTCTAATAATATACATATCAACCTGGATAGCTCCGGGGAGCATCTGGGTATCACCCAGAAAATGGCATTTCATTACATTCAACACTGGTTTTTTCACCATGTAACCTGTAGGTGACTGGGCGCTAGGTGCACATTTGTCAGCCATGATTGTTCACTTCAAACTGAGCCTACCCACAGCCTTGGGGATGTGCTACGAATTACTTTAAAGATGTCAGATAATCACTGGAGGCCTGTGATGTCTGTTTGCTCCCAAGGTTTCTGCACGAGAGTTTTGAATCTTATGTTCTATACCAACAAACAACTCTTCTTGGTGACTGCACTACCTGTCAACCGAGATATCTCGGTTAGTGTACCACCTGTCATCCGAGATATCTCAGTGAGTGCACCACCTGTCAGCTGAGATATCTCTGTGAATGCACCACCTGTCAACCAAGATATTTCAGTGAGGGCACTGCAGGGGTTTAGGAATGCATTAGGTTAGCTATATTTACCATATACATGAAGTTTCAGATAAAAGGAAGAATTAAGTTTTTAAAAAAATTGCATAGAAACTTCTTTTTCAGAATGCAACCCGTGAGCTTATAACAGTTGTGGGATGTGTAAGAAAAGGTCGCCCTCCAGAGGTTAGAAATGGCCTTGTTGTGTGTGAGGAAGAGCAGCTCGCCCTCAATATCACTTCCTCCTCTAGAGCCAGCGTAGAAGACTTTATACTTATACCATTTCCAGAACCTGATATGTGGTTTTTGGCTCTTCAGAGTATTTGTTACTACAATGGGTAACTATATTTTTATTACTGTAATTTTGATTGGAAGGAGATAGTGTATCATCATTATATTGCACATTTATGTCAGTACCTATCAATTAATATTTTCCCCAAAAGGTCTTGGGAGATGTAATCAATGCGAACGATACACAGATAGGAAAATTTATTTTATTCTCAACTTGTATGGAACAAAAGAAAATTAGTAAATACTCCCAAATTTTTTAAACATTTTATAACTGTGAATTATTCACTAAATTGCTTATCAGGGTGACACCTCTCTCTTTATCTCTTTCTCTGTCTCTCTCTCTCTCTCTCTCTCTCTCTCTCTCTCTCTCTCTCTCTCTCTCTCTCTCTCTCTCTCTCTCTCTCCAGTTACTTTTTAAATTTTCTGTGTAATTATTCTCTGCTAATTATGGTTTTAATGGTCTGTCATTGAATGTCTTTTCTTAATCTACAACTTGAGACACAGGCTACTTTTGTATAGTGTCTAGGAGTTAAATACCCCTAAATGCATTATGTGAAATAGTCATGCTCTATGTAATAGGGATTTATATAAGGATCTCTCTTCCTCTCATAGTATCAGGGCATTGTCTGGAGGCAATTTTGTCAAAAACTTCTCTGGCAAACCTTCCTTCAGTGGAGATACAAGATCAGTCCAGGTCAAAAGTAAAAAAAAAAACTGTGTTGAATGTAATGAAATGCCCCTTTTTGGGTGAGACTTAGTGTGGCAGTGACTCCCTGAAGCTGTCTCTCGTATGACTTCCCAATACTTTGCCACATCAGTCATAGGAGTCTTGTTGGCCTACCAGAGATCAGAGCCCCCTCAAAGAGGCAAAGGGAGCAGGGAATTGTTACATTCACGTTGGCAATATAGTGGACACAGCAAACCTCCAATCTGATGTTAATTATGTCTTTCAATAGGGCACAGAAAATAACATGATTTTTAATGAGGATAACTTCCAGTTATGTGTACTGTACTATGGAAAAAGGAAAGTATCAAAACAGAAATCACATATAAAACAGTCAAACCACACTATTGAAAGAAAAAACACTAAAAGATTTAGAAGTAATCATGTCAGAAAACCTTTTAAAGAACACAACACAGTTGCTGTCACAACTGCAAGAAAAATGACAAGTTGGATGACAAGAACTTTCCAAACAAAAGATTCCATGCCAATGATGATACTTTTGAAGACTTTAGTGTTCTATAGAGTGGAATATTATTGCACACTAACAGCCCCATTCAAAGCTGGAGAAATTACTGACCCGGAGAAAGTGCAAATATCCTTTATCATTAGAATCCACTCGATAAAACATCTAAATTATTGGGACCACCTAAACATTTTAAATTTGTATTCCCCGAGTGCAGGTGGGGGGCAGAGAGAAAGAGAGATAATAATTTACACTTGGAAAATATTAGAAGGACTGGTTCCAAATCAGCACACAGAAATAAGACCACGTGAGACCAGAAGACATGGCAGGATGTACAAAATAGCCCTACTGAAGAGTAGAAGTGCGGTAAGCACACTGAGAGAGAACTCGACCAACATGAAAGGCTCAAGACTTTTAAACACACTTCCCCTACACATACGGGGCATAACTGGCTGACATCTCACTGTGTTCAAAAGAGAACTTGACATGCACTTTCAAAGGATACTTGATCAACCAAGCTGTCACTCAGGTTGCAAGCAGCCACTTCTAACAGCCTGGTGGATCAGACCAGCAACTAGGAGGCATGGTCAGAGACTAGGCAGTGGGGAAATTGATCCCCAGAACCTTCAATAGGTAGGTAGGGTTGATGAGTTGGGACAGGGTTTAGCTCAAGATGTTACTCACCCTTATTTGGGGGTGACTCGTTCCACTTCGGTCACAGAGGCAGGTGAACTGCCTAGTCCTGCTGAGGTTTCCGTACTTTCTGCCTTCCAGCCAACTTCTTTTGAGGCCTCTTCTTTAGACTTCACTTTTCTATCCAGTTCTGGTCATGGACATCCCCGGAATCTTCATGTATGGTTTCTGTGGCTTGGGGGAAGTCCGATAGGGAAGGCAGTGGGTGTTCTTGAGCCCTCGTTAGACCTTCATCTCCTCTGGCGAGGATCTTTTGCTTTAGGGGGAGAGGGTTTCATATCTTCCCTCCTTGTATGAGTTTGACTTTAATGCGGCTGCCCCCAGGGTTCGTATCCATTTGCCTCTCGGCCCATCAGATGGGGTCCTTTCAGAGGCTCCGTTCATCTTGGAGTCTTCTTTCAGTGGCTTGGGCAGATCTCTTCAATTATCTCCTGCGAGCCCTGGAGTTTGCCTCTATGGTTGATCTCTGCATCTTTTGAGTTTGGGTCATCTTCGCCTTAACTGGTTGTGTTATGAGGTCCTCGAGTCTTCCTGGCTAGTGGACAATCCTCTTTTTATTTTTTATTTTAGGGCTTTGATGGAGCATCTGTCATTTCTGCACACTCAAGTAGCATGAGGTGTTGACCATGTTTTAGGTGTTTCTGGCGGGAGCTGCTTGTAATTCCCTGAAACTGTTTCCTGAGATTTGTGAGAAACAAAGCCTCGAAAACTGCCAAACAACTCTGCAAATGAGTCCCACAGAACAAGTGATTTACTCAAATGAGCTCAAAAGTTGTTAATACTGATTACTACTACCAGGAGGCTTGTTGCCAATTCCCAGCCTGCCAAACAGAACTCCTGCAACTGATGTGACTTTGTAGTATGGAACAATTTCAGCGAGATAGCTACAGGGATCCACCAGGCATGTTTCAGGAAGCCACTGATGGGACCCATCAAGAGAGAGGGATTTAATTATATTCCACCTGAGATTTGGTTTTCTTGTCCAAGATTGGCATCTCTTATGATAGCCACATGCCAAAGTGCTAATAAATGTATTTTTTTTTTTTTTTTTTTTTTTTTTTTTTTTTTATATATATACAAGAGGTGTCACATTCTTGTATAGCCACTAGTGCGTGTAGCGTTTAGGGCAAGTCCTTAATCCTATGTTCCCTGGAATACGACCCCCGTAAAGAATCGTTTTTACAACCAAGTACCTGTACCCATTTTACGGTTGAGTTAAACAGAGGCTACAGTTAAGGATTTGCACCCAGTAAATCCTCCCCGGCGAGGATACGAACCCAGGACAAAGCACTCGCGAAACGCCAGGCGAGCGTCTTAACACTTTCGCGCTCTCTGCGTTCACAAAAAAATCATACCCTAGATGCTTTCGGCGGTTCGCGCGCCTACGTGGTAAGACCGAAAAAGTGTACACTCTTTTGACTGTCCTGACAATAATTGAAGGCGCACGTATTTAAATTTGGTATCACTGTGTTCGCAATAAAATTGTCTATAAGAACATCCCTATAAAATGCCGCCAAAGCATAAGGACTATCAACACCAAATAAAAAACTATTCAGATCACTCGCCGAGAGCACCAAACAGCAACAAAATGTTTCCACTCTCTTAATGGTTGCGAAGCCTACAGTTGTCCTACATCGCTAATTGTGGTATCATTGGAATCGCAATAAAATTCTCTATACGGACATATGCATATAAATATAGATTCAATGTCGTAGCCCACCCAAAACAGTGTGGGAAGTGGCCGAAGTGTTACCCGCAGTGGCATATTGGCGAAACTCGCTTTGAAAAGTGTATATTCAATTCACTGTCCTGACATTATTTGTCGATGTATGTATTTCATTTTTGTACCAATGTGTTCGCAATAGAATGTTCTATAAGAACATAAGTATTAAAGGTCACATAAGGATGCGTTCGACCGGCAACATATATAAAAACTACGTCGATTATACTCGTCGTGTCAATAATACAATTGTTTTACCACGATGATTCACTGCCACAACGTTCTCTTTAATAAGCTGTTCGGCTATTAGAGAAAACGTAAATTTCATGGCAAACATTTGTAAACTATTCCCAAGTTGATCGGATAATAAATGGATTTTATACAAATATTTTTCTCGTGACTCCCGAGCGCCGCACGCCAGCGTAATAAGCAGGAATATTGGTGACGACACTGTTGTCACCAATTAGCGAAAGTGTTAACCACTATGCCACAGAGACTGGTGGATATAGGATAATGATAGGCTTAAAAAGGCTTAAAACATTCTTCTGTTTAGTTTGGAAATAGGGAAAGAATTGAATTGTCACACAGTTAAGTCAACTTTTTTTAGAATGATTTCTCTGGTTGAATGTGTCACTTTTACATAAGTGTATATAGTGTCCTTATAATGTGCTATTTACAGAGAAACTAATCAAGATTTTCGTTATCTTTTGTAGGCAGAAGACTCCATGCACTATAGAACAAGTGATGGTTAGCATTGACATCCGCACTCAGCCATGCGTATTTGCAGGTGAAAGTCCATGTGGTAATCATGGTTTGTGCCAAGAGACCCACCGTGGTATGTTCTTCTTTACTAGTTGTGTAAGTATTATAAATAAGAGTATCATGTGTTGATAGAGTAATGACCTGATGATTTATAAGTATATGTTAGTTTTGATAGAGGCCGACAGACTTTGCATAATTCATTATGAATTCCAGATAAGTAGTCTCTATATTTTTGTGTCTTTTTTTTTGGGTGGGGGGGGAGAGGGCACTCCTCTTCACTAGCTTTCCTTAGCATAAGCACTGGCCATTTCTGGTTAGAGTAGCCCTGCCTAGCAGCGATAAAGACCTATATGTGACCTTTCCGTGCTCCACCTATGAAGCAAGGAGCATTTGAGAATCAAAGATCATTACACTACTGAAACAAACCATCCTTAAAGGAAAAAAAGAGGACACATCCACATACCAAATGACTAAAACAAAACTCTTAACAACTACTAAACTATCATTTCCTGCAACTCGTGCTATCTGTACCAGATGGTGGGCCCACCTCACTGAACAGCACCAGGGACCAGATTCACGAAGCAGTTATGCAAGTACTTACGAACATGTACATCTTTCCTCAATCTCTGACAGGTTTGATTACATTTATCAAACAGTTTACAAGCATGAAAACTTCCCAATCAACTGTTGTAATTGTTATAAACAACCTCCTGGTGCTTCAGAGCTCATTAACTGTTTAATAATTGTAAACAAAGCTTCCAAAGATTGAGAAAAGATTTACAGGTTTGTAAGTGCTTGTGTACCTGCTTCGTGAATCTGGCCCCTAGTCTGTTAATGCCTCCCTGCAGCTAAAAATTTGCCTTTCCTGTGGCTTTTCAGGCCTGTGCAGAGGTTATATGCTATGTATGTTTCATGCACTTGTGTGCTGCTCACACTGTGTCTTGGACTGCATTCAACCTCAGCTTCTGATGTTGATATTGACTGTTCATCAGATATCTTCTATGAGGCATTTAGTTCTCTTCAGGGGTGACTCCTCTTGTATTGACTCCAGGCTGGGTATTGCTTTTGGACTCTGTTGCTGGGGGAAAACATATTGCTAATGTTTTGTCTAGTAACATAGTTACTGTTTACTAACACCTGGCCATTATGATAGTCTGTGGTGCTTTGTATCAGCTCATGAGAGGACGTGGCACATTATGCCATCTCAGAATTGCATTGGGAGTGGCATACAGAGATCATTTGATTGTTCATGAGTACTTACGCCCTCCCTCATCTCTTGGAGGCTTTTTTTTAGTGCTTGTCTGCCGATTCACAATCTCTCATGCCTGATTGCTTGTTTGTGGTGTTTTAGTTCCCATGCATCAAGGATATTTTTGCCTCTGTTCATTGCTGGCTAGATCATGAGAGATTTTCCCACGTAGGTTTGGGTAAGACAGCTATGTCCCTTGATTTACCTGGTGGCAACTTTTGTCATGTGCAGTACTGAATACTTAGGAGACTGGGGATTCCTAACTCTGGATATCAGCTATCACCAAAATGTGACGAAACCATATTTATTTAATGCTAATCCATATAATAATTTCCTTGCCACATAACAATGAAAGGCACTAAACAGTTGCCATTTTTCCTCTGTTACTGGGTGGATAGCAGATTATGTCTGAAGTGATTTACTGCTTTTGGCCTTTGATTAGGTAAAAGATTTTCATGAGCACTCATTATTTCCACTTTAGATTTTAATAGAATATTAATATACAGTATATGTTTTGTATTTTGAAAACTAAAAATAATATGTATTTTTTCCATTGCAGGTTTGTACAGCTGGTTGGCAAGGGTGGGGCTGTGAAGATGGACAAGCAGCTCAGGGCTGGAATACTGTGCTCACTGGCCTCTGTTTGCTTACCATTAGCAACATTTTCTTTTTGCCTCCAACTATTATAGCTGCACGTAGACACCTATACTCACAAGCTCTTTTATTCACAGCCACCATGATAGCTTCTGTATTCTACCATGCTTGTGACAATGAGGTGAGTTTGACATACTATTATATATTGTCCTTGGTACTAATTTAAACTTAATGTTACCTGTCAAAAATTAAGCTTTTTGTAGTAACGGCAAAAGCCAGCATTAAATGTAATGAAATACCAATTTCTGGGTGAACCCCAGTGGCTCCCTGAAGCTACTATACTCTGAGATGGTATCAACTACTAGGTCGCATCAACCATGGAGTTGTATGGGTTGATTGGAGACCAGCACCAGAACCTGGCTCCTTCACAGAGGTACAGGGAGTGGTGACATTTATTTTTGCCACCACAAGGGAAGACAACCAGAAAGTCAGAGGGTCAAAACACACCACTGTTGGCTTCAGTAGAGAATGAAGCCTTGACATCTGCCAAAAGAACTCCCCAACTATGTAAACCAATGATCAAATTCTCTCAGAACTAGCACAAGCTCATTTGCCCCACCTCCCCAACTTGTTTGGTTGAAGGGGCGAGGTAGCTCACCACCAGCTGGAGTCCCAGCTTCCAGTTCTATAACTGATGTAGTGGGTACGAGGTCACCTCTCTTCCATGCTTGCTGTAGTGTTCTACATGTTCAGCTTAGTAGTTGTGTTTGCTCTTTGTTGTGTTTCCTGTACACTGTGGTGTAGTATGAGCCAAATTTTGTGTGTGCTTGGAGCTACATGTACATATGGTTACCTTCCCTGTGTACTTCCTAGCACTGCCCTTGCAGTGCCAGGGAAGGTTATCTTCCCTGGAGTGTTTGGGAATTGCTCCCATAGAGGTCATCCACTCGTATGGTGGCCTTCACCAAGAGTGGGTCAGGTGTCTTGGGACTTTACTGTCTTCAGTCAGTTAAGGAGAGTCTTTGGTAGGGAGGGTGCACTGATGGTTTATGCACTTCTCTCGGCACACTGAGGTTGGCCTTCACAGTCATGAGAAAGAGTTTGTGTCAACTTACTTTTAGGTCCGGCATAACGATCCCAGTGCCTGGGGTGTCTTGCTTGGGTTTTTCTCTTTAGGTCCTGGAAATCCTCTGTGGGTTTGGGGATCCTGTGGATAGTTCTCCCTGAACCTGCTATCACTTTGTGCAAGTTTGAGGGTTGCTTGTCATCCATGCCACATGGCAGCATTCATTCCTTCTGCCTCCATAATGCTTCTGGGGCTCGGAGGGAGTCAGATTTGAGGCCTTGGGTTGCTTTTGACTACATGGTTCCTGGTTTCCTCCAAGGAGGGTCTACTTTTGCAGGGGGAGGGTTTTTTTTTGTATCATCGCTCCCTCCCTGTGTGGCAGGAGGATATGAAAATTCAAACCATGTGTGTGCGGTTCGGTTATGAATACTGTACTGCTATTATCAGATTCCTGTCACTAAATCATGAATATGAATAATACTCAAGTTTATTTTCTAAAGGAACATGAGGTCCCATTTCATGATGCGTAGGTGCATGAATCCGCGGCTGTGTGCTATGAATGTCTGTCTGCTGTCTCCCACTGTGACCATCATAACCAGCACTGTGTTCACTGATAACTGAACCTTGTACATAGTTTTTATCACCGTTATGATCTTGTATGACACTATCAATGCAAAAAATTGAAGGTATTTATTTATTCCATATTAAGTGATGCTCTGGGCACAAGCTGCATGTTGGTTCTGTAACCTGCTGCAACATGCTCTACCCATGGTTGCCCTCTCAATAATTAGGTCCTCACACTTAGGAGGGTATCCCAAAAATATATTTCAAAGATTGTGTCTGTTAACCAGAGGCATGAGGCAGTAACTGCGAGCCCTGGGTACGCGCAGTACTTTTAAATCTTATGAGGTACTCAAAATCATCTCTATTTGACTTGCTCAGTAGGGTTAGATATGGCATGAGCATCCTTGTTTAACATTACGAATATGTGGGGTGTATTGAAAAATGTTTATACAGTATATTATATATCTTGTTAAAGCAAACACACAATACAGTTTCATCTGGACAATTCTTACATTAGAATTCCTTACCAAATCTCAATATGTCGAAGTATTTTCAGTGTGAAATAATGTTGTTATATGAATCATTTGTTTTTTCAATTATGATATAGACTGGCGTTTAATTTATATGGAATTAAAGTACTGTACATCACAAATCGGCAAATAGCAGTAGGTCAAGTTGATCAATTTCAACTGATGGTGCCCACTGGGAGGGAGAAACCTTGGACCCATCAGACAGAGGCATTTCGTTATAATCAACACTTAAAATTGTTAAGAACTCAAGCTTTTAAAACCTTATATCCATGTGATTGTGACAATTTATCTTTTTCTTTACAGGTAGTTTCATATTGTGTGACTAAATATGAGGTGTTGCAGTTTACAGACTTCTTCTTCTCACTACTTTGCTTCTGGGTCACAGTTGTTGGCCTTGGAGGCATAGATGAAGCCTATTGTCCACTCTTGCATACTTTGGGAGTTGTTATTATTGCTCCATCCGTCCAGAACAGCCGCACAGCTCTCGCATCATTTACTCTACCCATGGCTTTTGCAACTGCTGTACCAGTATGTATTATTACAGTTTTATATGATATCTAAACATTGCTTGTGATTTATTGAGTAATTTCAAGGGGTATTTATAATTAATATTTCTGTGCTGATCCCTTCATTAGCTGTCTAAAGCTCATGTCCTCAAAAATCAGGCTCCTCGGACTTCCTGGGAAGTCTCGGCAGTTCCCCTGAAGCTACAACACTAGAGGAACCAAGCCTTAGGAGATACGGTACTAGTATTCACAAATGCTCTAAACTTTCTAACAAATGTGATCTAACATAAGCCTACCCCCCCCCCCCCCCCCTTCCTTTTATCTTTCTTCTTTTTCTTTCCCTTGTTTTTTCTCTTATGATCCCTTTCTTATTCCTATTATTACCCCCTTTATTACACCTTACCTTCTATTCCTGTTGCCTTGCTTTTTCTTCCTCTAAGAGTTCCTTCTCCTCACCTCTTTCTCTTGCCTATTTATTGCCATTGCCTCCTTCCTCTCATTGTAATTGACTTGATAATGGTTCAGGATGGACCGAAACGTCGTCGTCTCTTCACTTTCTAGTGATGATTTGATCAACATTTTTCATCCACGTTATTGTGACTCCACATCTGCAAGCCTTAGGAGGCATTCCAGACCTTTTGAGACCCATGAGACTTTACTGGGAACTTGGACTGGAATCTGGCACCCTCTACAAGGCAAGGGAGCCTGGAGATCATAGATCAACAAAAAAATTAGATACATCCAACCAAAAAACAAAGGTACCACAAAACAAGCAACTGGTTGAAAGGAACAGCAATATGGATGAATATAATGCAAACATTCATTACCACAATAAAGTCGCCATTGTGATGTGCTTTCCTGCTGACAAATGGCAGCACAAGCAACCCAGTCTCTCATCCAGACAGCTAGCTCATTCATGAGCATTGTGTGACCAGATGATGACCCCTCTGGTGGGTCCATCTCAGTTTTATACTTACAGATAAGTAGTGTTGACCATCCTGGAACCTATTCTGGATAAAGCCATTGTTTTGTGTTCATTTTATTGCTTCATGTGTGTGTCTTATGCCAACCATCTTGTGGGTGGTTCGCACAGTCCCAACCCAGAGTTGTGGTGTATATGAACACATCGAGTGACAGGGAAGGATGGCACCACAGAACTGAACCCTGAAAAGCTGGAAGAGATGGTCAGCAAATCAAGTGCCATCAAAGGGTGGACAGTGCCCAAACCCAACGATCCTGTCAATGTGTTTTGGTGCTTTGTTTTCATGAACCAAGCTGTTATTTTGTATATTTTTGTCTGCTTTCTTGGTGAGGGTGGTCATAAAAATCCTCTGCTCCCTGTACAACTTTGATGGGGACAGGTTCTGGCTCTATTCTCCAGTTGGCCAATGAGTCCCCTATGATTAATGTGGCTAAATATTGGGGAGCTATATTAGCAGCATAGCTTTAGGGAATCACCAAGGGACTCCCCCAGAAAAAATTATACCCCTAGCTGGCAATCGGCCTCAAATAATAAATTATTGGTTGAAAGTTATAAAGTACCCAGCCCCCATTTGCCTATTTGTAATAAGTCAATGCAATATTTTGTTTCATATACACATTAGTTTGGTAACTAATGCTCTTGCATATTTATTTAAATTAACAACAAAGTTTTCAATGTAAGAAATAAAGTATTTTCTTTCAGCTGTGCCATATTTTGTATCAGCGGTGCCGCAAGGGTGCCTGGCCATCTGTTCAGCCAAGACAATTGCTGTCTCGAGTTGTTGGCATAAGTCTTGCACTTGTGGGCCTTTTCATGTTTGCCTTGATACAGACCAAGGATAACTATAAAGTAAGAATTTTTGTAGTTGAATTTGAGAGCTTTAAGAAATTATGATCGAGTTAATTATGTTTAAACTTCAAAATATTAGTAATAGTTGAAAATTTGAAATACTGTATATGTAAATATAATTTTGTAAATATAGCTTTTAAATTTTAGTATATTGTACATTAATATAATGTAGAGAAATTCTACATGTTTGAAATAATATAATCTTTTACTTACAGTATGTACACAGCTGTTGGCATGTTGTCATCGCACTTTCTCTTGTCTTCCTACTTCCGTCCCGCAGCCCATCTGACCAAAGCTACAAAGTGCCCAGCTCGGTGATAACACACTTGGCTCCTATAACTAGCGATGATGCTGAATTAATTGATGTTGGGGAAACAACAGTAGATTATACAGCATCATCTCCTGTCTTCCATGTTACCTCAGATGTTGACTTTCTATTAACTGATAATGAAGAGGACTATTACAATTTAGATAAGAATACTCAGTAGCTTTAAATATCTTTCATGAAAATATTTTTTTTTATAGGTTGATGTTTCAAGCTAATAAAAAAAATCATAAATGATAATACAGTTCAAGAAAAAGTTTGTAATTTTTATAGTTCTGAAAGTGTATTTCTTAACTTTGTCAGTGCTGTATGTACAATAATTATATTTTTTATACTATTTTATGGTGCAAAACTAATGCATGCTTAGATGCATCATCTTTTTAAATGTAGTGAAATATTTATTAGTGAGTGTGAATGAGACTATTTGGTCTATCTGTATGTTAGTATGTTTCTTAGTTTTATAAAAAATGAATGAAACTGGTCTGTCTGTATTTGTTCTCAGTTATATATTAAATGACATAAAGGAGAGAATGGATGAGATAATTTAAGAAGAGGGGAGGTATGTGAGGGAGAGTGAGCAAGTGATCTCATGTAGTGTGCGGCATTACAGGAATAGAGCTGTTATTATAGTTTGTAATTGTCTTTGTGTGTGCACTTTTATTATCTATATCTGTAAGAATGATTTTATTACAATTTCTGGTGAAGCCCCTCAGTAGCTAGGAGCTAGGCCTCTTAGATCCACACTGCACTAGAGAAGGCCAGGACTAGCATCTGGCTAGGCCTGGTGGTAAGGGGAGCTAGTCCATGAGGTGAGGGGAACTGAGTGGTCACAACACTGCACTACAGAAGGCCAGGACTAGCATCAGGCTCTCCATGAGGTGAGGGGAGCTGAGTGATCACAAGTGGCGTGATGCTCAGGTAAGCAAATGACACGGATAAGATCTTTTGATGAAGCTGAAGTATGAAATATTAAAAAAAAAAAAAAAAATTTATTAATTCATCTTACTTATAAAATAGGAAGTAGTAACAAAATATTATTTTAACTTACAATTTTTAAACATTGTTTAGTGAAATTTTTCTTGGCTTATGAACAAAATTGTAAGTGTGCACAGTATCGCATCATTTAACGTCAAATAATTATCTTAAGTTGAGTGTTGTCATAGTGATGCTATCTCTTTCAAAATGAAATCTAACATTTAAAAACTTTATACTGTATCATTATTATTTTATTATATTATTCAAAAATGATAATGTCATCATTCAAGCACTTACCAATAAAATAGCTTGGCTAGGTTGATTGTGTGTATTTGTGTGTGTAATTATGTAAGTGCAATTACTACAGTACTATGATAACGAGTTTAATAGTCTACAAAACTGTGAAACAGAAAAAGATTAGATATTTATTTACATATATGAATTTATAATAGAATTTAATGAACTGGTAATGCTACAGTGCTGCCGGCAGCATTAGTAGTAGTAGTAGTAGGTTAGGGGGCACCTGGGACAATACTATGTTTACGTTGTCCAAATCTCTAGCAGAATTAATTATATTCAGTGATGATGATAAATGTTGTTGGAGGAGGGGAATTCTAGCATCAGCATGCTTTCTGCAAAATATTAAGATTGATCTGAACCTTAATACTGTATATGGTTTTGGAAAAATGGAGTAATGCGAGTTAAATTACTGTAACTGTTTTCATTGTACATCTGGCATTGGCATTTCACTTTATTCTGGAAAGGGACGGAACTAGGTTACTGCAAATGGAATGTTGCGTATTTGAGAGAGAGATTTTCAAGCAGTAAATGCCACTTGAAAATCTGAGAAAAAATGCAGAATGATATGTATATACTGTAATTGAAATTTATAATATTTTAACTAAATATTATAAATTTATATTAATAAATTAAATAATATTTTTAACTAAATATTAATAATTTATATTTTAATTGGACAGGAATAATTTTGATAGAGTAAGCAATGCTTACCTTGCTTCATAGGAACACACACACCACTGGTGATCACAGATCATCCCATACCTGAGGAAAGCTAACCAAAAAGATCGTGCTAAACTAATTAAACAATTCATTGCAGATAATTAAAAAGATAAAAACATGGCAAATTATAATTTTCTGTGGGTGAACAACTCTACCCCTAACTTGTGTCTCTGCCAACAAATGGCTCTCCAGTGCATCTGGAGTCCCAACCCTCCTGCTAACTCACTCAGTTGGTACTGCATGGATCAGTTTGCTTCTGCTGGGACTCGTAAGCAATTTCTTGGCACAGATAGGAGCTGGTCACTATAGTTGTCACTTGTTGTTGTTGATTTAGGGGCGACGACGACCAAGGGATTGGATGCGCCCCGGCTGCCTGATACCGGGAAATAGCAAAGTGGGATGGGGTCCCTACAGTCTCTTCAGGCCACAGACCCCACAATCTCCTCAGGCCACATACTTTACAGTCTCTTCAGGCCACATAGTTGTCACTTTCAATCCATGCATGGCTATTTCCTTGTTTTTATTGTTCTTTCCTTTTCATACTTGTGTTTTGTACCACTATCATTCATATTCCCAGTACAGAACAGCATAACATTTTGCCTTGTCTTTGGTCCTGGATTATCAATTTATCCTCCTTATCAATTTTGTTGATTCATGTTACTATTTTGTACTTAGTGATCATATCACCTCTTTTTCTTCTATCTTTTACTTTTGGCATATCTAATGCCTCTAACCTCTCCTCATAACTCTTGTCTTTCAGTTCTGGAAGCCATTTAGTTTCATGTCTTTGCACCTTTTCCCGTTTGTTGATCTGCTTCTTAAGATATGGGCACCATAAGTCGCTGCAAATTCCAACTTTGGTCTCGCAAATTGTGTAAACAATTTCTTTAGTATTTCTCCATCCATATATTTAAAAGCAATTCTAAAATTGGAAAGTGTATCATAGACTCCTCACACAATGTTTATGATCCTCATCATGAAGTTCTCACATACAACTTGATAATGGTCCAAGGCGAACTGAAATGACATCATTTCTCCATCTGATGTGTGATTTGATCAGTGTACTGCCCATCGGTGGCAGTATAAGGTTTCTTGGCGATCTTTTTCCCCTACTTCCTTTCTTTTCATCACTCCTCTGTCTCCATTCCTTTCTTAGTTCTTTCATTTTTTTCTTAGTTCTTTCTTAAGTGGCACCTTATGCTGAATACTGTCCCTCTTATCATTAGGCACTGACAGAGCCGCTACTGCTTGAGTACGGTACTGATACTCTGTCAGCGCCATTTTGGAAGCATTGATTCACCTCCGGCCTGGTCATGTGTCACCTGAGCCCTCTTGGTCTCTTGACCATGTTCTTACATTTCTTTAATCCTCCTCCTCACTTCACCATTTCCCCTTTGGTCTGTGATTCCATTTCTGAGGTAGTTTTCCTGTTGGCACTTGCCTCTGGTTGTAGGGTTGGGGGATTCATGCTCTTTGGTAATGCACCTGTAGTGTTTGTTCCTTTGGCCCTGGTGGGCATTATGTTCATTTGCAGCTGTCTCCTTCTTTTTTGGCTAAGCATGAGTCGGCAGACTTCTGGAAGGGTTCTTTCAATATGTTGGAAAGCCAAGCTTGGTGGGTTAGGCCAAGAATGCGTCATGTGCTGTGCTTGGTGGAGTCTCTATGTCACTACACTTTTGCCATCTCTTCTGCCTCTGTGGACACTTTGTGGGTTGATCTTGTTTCCTTAGTTCCCTGTTCCAGGGCTCATGTTTCCCAAGTCACCTGCACTGTAAAAACTGAGATCTTGGTTGATGGGTGGTACTCCAACCAAGATATATCATTTTTAGGAATAGGGAAAGATTCAAAACTCCTATGAGTACATGGGGGCTCACATCCTGTTCCTTAGGACTCGGTGAACAAATGTCATCTTTAAAAAAATCATCTGCATCCCTTCTGGCTGTGATAGCCTCAGTACTGCCAGAGCAACCACATGCAGCAGCAGCTCACAGCACAGCTGTGCATGTTGGGGCCACAGCACCACTTAATAATGATGAATAAAATAAGTAACTGCAATTATTTTGTGATGATAATGTCATAGATGATCCTGCCTGTAATAAAAACTATGTACAAGGTTCAGATATCAGTGAGCACAATGCTAGTTATGATGATCACAGCAGGAGGCAGACATTTACAGTACAGGTACTCAGCCGAGGTTTCATGCATCTACGTATCATGCAACATGACATGTTGCATGTTGCGTAGTTCAAGTTCCTTTAGAAAATATTCTTGTGAAAAATTATTCATATTCATGATTTAGTGACAGGAATTTGACAATAATAGCAGTGTTGTTGCTAGACTTAGCGATGTGTGTAGTATACTGAAGATAACATATTATTGCATCAGGGGACGTCATCTGCTAGCATAGTAGCATGTAGCTCTACATTGTGCTAAGATTTCATTACTACCAAAATACTACCACCAGAATTACTTAGTGGTTGTTATGGTTTATATGGATATAGATAGCTATATTTGATGTGTTTATATAGTTTAATAACAAAAACTGTATGTTTTATTGTTCAAAGACTATAATATTGTGTTCATATTAGTGACACATAAATCTCTGCGTACCTATGATCTACATGGTCTGTGATATAAATAACATCATTGACAACCCAGTGCATCATTGTACTTGAAATACTGTACAAGGTACAGTATCTTTGTTATCACTCACTTTATGCCCTTGTGTTTTTGCATTGGAATCGTGAGTGATATTTAGCAATTTTTGAATATCTAGCAACACAAATGGTGTTTCATAATCTTTCTGGCTTAGCTCCTTCTTTTGATAATCTCTTCCTTACTTCCCACAAACAAATGAGTTAAGCTTGATTTAAAACTGAGAACAACAATCTATGACATTTCTGTATGCTGGCCCATACAACATTTTAGCCAGTCATTTTAATGTTGTACCAATATGCTGTATATTTTGTAACTATAGGGGCAAAACAAAAGTCGGACAACAACCTGAAATTGGTCACCGATTTCTCTGACCCTTCACACATTTATTGACACCAATGATTTAAGTACAGATTCTAGAGAGTGATGAAAATGTAGCATATTGTAGACTCTGCAAACACACATTTAGTTCTCCACCAGCACAGGACTAGAAGCACAGACCAGAGAATCAAGGGACACGTGAAGTATATACATGTAGATATGGCATAGGCCACTTTATATAAAATTTTACAATGGCTGAAAAACAAGTCACTTGCCTGCCTGTCTGACTGAACACTGACTTAGTCATATAGAATGTAACATGTTCTGGATATTGGAAATCTAGGCAAGCAAGAGTGCTGCCACCTAGTGGTGAGTTGCTGGTTTTGGTTATGCTGATGAATGAGTAGATGTGAAGCATCACTTGTCAATCACTTCATTAACCATGCAAATATTTGGTAGAGCATAGTCTCTATTGTTACATGGTCTCCAATGTCCATAGAAGACATTACCGCTGATGCATCGGCAGTCAGGAATAGAGGTGACATGGTCAGGAGGTCAAGAAGGATAAGAGGATTGGACCCAGAGTAGCATCCTCATTAGACATTGAGATGTAAGTTTCGTTCTAACCACATACTCAGACCTTGACAAAGTACTCAAGGAGAATGTGAAAGACTTCGTGTAATCTCTTTACATAAATTTCACAAAACGCACGTGTGGGTTTTTATCATATGTTACTATTTCTTTGAGAAAACATTACCATTACTTAGTCTCTATTGATATACAGGTACTTATAACAGTCATTCTGGGCTTGATTGAACTTTTTGGTGTATCTGTGCCACATCGTATGACCCTTCTGGGACACTTGAAATGAGCCCAAGAGTGCCGATATGTCTGAATATCGTCGTGCCTCACTGTTTATGATATACTTCTTTTCTGACACAGTGCCTGTCTCTGACGGTGAATTCTTTCATTAAGAAACAACTGAATGCAATAGTTTAAAAATGTGTGTATGTTAAATTATACATTAACCAGACTGATTTAAAAAAAAAAAATATAGCAGCTGCTCATATTTTCTTCACACAATAAAAGCTTTAAAGTTATTTAGTTATGGTCTGCATAGCTCTGGCTGATTGTTCTCTCCTGATATCACCAATTGTTAACATTCCTGTTAAATATCAACCATTGTAGATGAAAATACTTTGCAGTTTGTCAGTGAAATTTAAGTATAGTAGTATGAAAAATGGGCACTGATTTGTGGTGATGTGACTTAATTTAGAAATGCTGGTCATTTACAATTTTCTTTAATATATATTTTCCCATTACTGTATGTGAAACTTATAAAAAGAATAAAGTAAACATTCCAACTCCAAAGGTTTATTATTAGAATTAAAATAATGGTAGCATTTTAGCCTACAGTGTATCTAAACTCTGTAATCTAAACCTGTTTTATTTTTGTGTGAAAATACTATGTCAAAGTGAATAACATGTTTGCTTATGAAACTGTTTAAATAGAGTGCATCAAAGAAATAAGTTTTTCTAATGATTCACAGTTAAAAATAGCATATTTTGGAAGTAAATATTTTGGGATGAGCTAGACAGATTTCTGAGGGGAGAGCCCCTTGGTGGCTACCAGAAATTCTCTTGCCAAGATGGCGTCTGACTACTGGATCATCATTTACAGGATTCTTGTTTGGCCTATCGGAGACCAGAACCAGAACCTAGCATCCCCTTCATAGGCACATAGCAGAGACTATTAATGTCACCCTACTGGGGAAAGCAACCAGAATGTTTGAGAAACTTTAAAGACAACTGCGGGGTTTATAGAAAACTAATCACCAAATTGGCCAAACACCTCCGCAAAACTCTTCAGGAGAAATAAGCGAATCTCGCTAACGAGTGTCATCCCATTAGTACTATTAGCCACCAACAGGTGACCTGGAGCCCCAACCCACACTCACTTCACCTACAGTTCAGAGTTAATGCTATGTTGTTTACACTGTGTAGGTGGTGGTCCCATGAAGCCTAACATTGCGGACAGTCCCACTGCCTCTCGGCTAAGTACCAGCCATTCTCTAAACGTTATCCTGCAGAGGGGGCCAATTGTTTGTGTTTTGTTCTTTATATTTTAGCATTTGTTTCACATGTATGTTTTACTCCCAGTTTCTTGTGTTGACTTGGATTATTTTATGCATCGAACTGCCTGTGCTTGGGGCTCATTTTCCTTCTTGAGGTTATCTTGAAATGATTTCGGGGCTTTTTAGTGTCCCTGCGGCCCGGTCCTCGACCAGGCCTCCACCCCCAGGAAGCAGCCCGTGACAGCTGACTAACACCCAGGTACCTATTTTACTGTTAGGTAACAGGGGCATAGGGTGAAAGAAACTCTGCCCATTGTTTCTCGCCGGCGCCCGGGATCGAACCCGGACCACAGGATCACAAGTCCAGTGTGCTGTCCGCTTGGCCGACTGGTCCCTTGGGTGCTTGAGGTGCGCCTACACTGACAGAGTTACTTCTCTGGTATGTTCAGGAGTTTTGGCCCTTGGAGGCCTGGTCAGCAGGGTGGAGAGCCTCACCCAGGGCGGTTCATGAGTCTTGACTTAACTTTGTTGGCCTGGGTTGTAGGCATTTTGGACTGTGAGTAGGCACATGCTGGGGTGCATACATGCCTTATTTAATACAACATGACATGGACACCCTTTGTAGTGACATGGTTACTGGATGCATTTGGTGTGTCTTCTTTCTGTAAGTATTCCCAATCCCTGGGTATCCTGCTTGGTCAGGCCCTGGTGATTACTTTGT